AGCTAGAGAAGGTTCCAGAAGGCTACATGTTGCTCTAACTAGCTCAGTAACCCTGGAGGCTATTTTATAGCTCTATGTGGAGGCCATACTCACCTACCTCAGCTCTCAAAGAACAGAGTGGAAACATCGTGGGCTCAGGGGATGTTAGGGGGAAAGGATGTCCTGAGATAATCTCATACAGGCTTTGTGGACTCCACCCCCACTCCAGACTAAAGCCATCAGGACATTGGGAAAGACAAATCCCATCACCACCAAGGGGAGGGTGGCTGGGACCTGAGGGTGGAGTTGGGCAGCCAGGTTGGATATAAAAACCAAACACGTGGGCCTTGCTCGCTCTCTGGCTCGCAATCGCTCGCCTCCTGGCTTCACCGCTCCTGGCTGGCGGCCAGCTCTCAGAGCGCCATTTTGGGATTCCTGATCGGCCGATCGGGTAGGACTCATTTAAAACTTTGTCTCCCACTTTTCTCCCAGAGCTGTACATTTCCTCATTTCCCTTTCCCTTGTAAATAAACCTTTTATTAACCTTTCACGTGTGCCTGCAGTAGAGCATTGATAAGTCCTTTTAAGCGCGCGGGTGAGGACCCACAGTCAGGCACCCCGTTTTGTATCGGGGTTGCTCTACAACAGTTTGGCGCCCAGCGTGGTTTCCAAGTTACACCCGCGGTTGACCAGCCCAAAGTAACATTCCTTGCGCAGGGACACCATTCTCAAGTGAAAGTCCCAGTGTAACAGGGTGGTCCCCAGGAAAGGGGGAGGTTCCCTGCCCCACCCAAGGGAGGGTGGAGCTGAGCAGGAAGAGGAGAAGCTGCAGAAGAGACTGAGGAAGGAAGGAAGCAGGATGGAGCCAGGAGACCTGGAGGAGGCGCATGGAGCCTAGAGACACGTGAAGAAACTGCGCTTGTCTTTTGGTCGTGGACTGGGTGACACAGATGTGGGTGAGACCCATGGGGAGGTGACAATGGCAGCTTTTATCTTGATGTTGATTTTGCTCTTTTCCTTCCGGGCTTGTCTGGTTGTTTGTGACCCTTTTCTGTGGGTCCCCACTGGAAGATGCTTTAGACTTGTGGCAGGCTTTGGGGCCTTGCTCTGGGCCAGTCCCATTTGGATGGACTTTTACCCACGAGGGGACGGGTAACTTTGGGTGCTTCATTTAGAAACTAGACTCTTTGCCTTACCTGTATTGTTTCCTAGTTTTTATTAAAGTTCCTTCCCATTAAAGTGTCATATGTTTTGTGTTGATGCGGCGGATGGCAGAACCCATTTAGAATAGGCAGGTTTGCGGGGTTTGGGCTGCCCCTCTCCCTGTCCTATAACACCAGCCCTGCCAGCAAGTTTCTGACTCACTTTGAACTGAGTTTTCTCTTCTGCCTAAATAGAGATATTGCTCTCTTCCTTCAAGGATCTGATGAGAACTAGAAACAACGCCATTTTTTTTAAGGGTGGTTTTGAGGAAGTTGAGTCTATTTAATCCCCAGTTCCAATCATCACACTCTAAGACTATGTCCAGCACCCCTTCTCTGGTGAGTATTAAGTGCCTTTCTGGGACCAGAAGTGCTGAATGCAGAACAAATCTAATCTCACCTGAAAGTGGACCCCCTCCCCACTCCCACCCACCAGAAGTTCCTGCCAAATGGGTATCCACTGCCTGATGGCACAGAAGCCAATGACCATACCTGCAGTGTTAGAGATGAGAAATAGCTTAATACAAGTTCTCCTGGCAGAACACTGTAGGCAAGTCTCACAAATCAGTCTCCCTAGGGTTGGACTTTGATCAGAGCTTACAGAGTTGAGAAACAAAGAAGACTTTAAAAAAAAAAAAAAAAAGGCAAGTTGGTAGAGTCTGATTGGTTGCTTTCTGCTGAATCAGGATATAACTCAAATTTGGGCTCCAAAATGAGCACCACCCACTTCTGAATATTGTCCTTTTAACCCAAGAGCCAAGCATCTTAGTTCCTTTGTCCTGTGGCAATTTTCCTTCTGGGCAGGGAGAGGTCACCTCAAGGACAGCAAATGCTCTTCTGGGCCTCCCCTATGGAATGCAACTTGTCAACTTAAGAACAATCTGTTTTTTTTTGTCATTTAAAAGAGATATGGGTATTTTTGTCCCATTGTCTCACCCTCCAAAGCTGTTCTTAAAAGATAAGCAGAAGCAGGAAAAGACTATCATGACCACCATGGGTTTTATTTCTAACTTTTCATGGGTCACCAATGAACTCAGGGTGCAGGGCACCAAATTGATGGGGAGGTAGCTGAAAGGGTTGCAAGGGAAGGGACAGGGTAGCAGCAGTGATGGAGCAGGGTGGAGACTAGCTACAGAATGACCTCATGGTCCCATGGAAACAAAGGAATAGAAGATAGGCCAATGGCTTTAGGACTTGTATTACTTTCCTCATGCTGCCATAACAAATTACCACATCTAGTGCTTAAAACAACAGGACTTTATTGTCTCATCATTGTGGAGGCCAAATTCTGAAATCAAGGACCATGTTCCCGCCAAAGACTGTAGGGAAACTTCTCCCTTGCCTCCCCCAGCTCTTGGTAGCTCCTGGTCTCCTTGGCTTGTGGGGCTTCACTCCCATCTCTGCCTCCTCCTTCATATGACCTTCTTCCTTGTGCTTGTGTCTTCGCCCCTTCTTATAGGGGACCGTCACTAGATTTAGGGTCCACTCTATTTTTTTAAAATATGCGATTTATTTATTTTTTAAAGATTTATTTATTTATGCATATAAGAACTGGGGTACAGGCCAGAGGTGTGGGGGATGAGAAGATTCACCAGAGACAGAGTGGGGAGCAGAACAGGTGGACTTGTTATAGGACAGGGAAAGGGTCAACCCAAACCCCGCAAACCTGCCTATTCTAAATGGGTTCTGCCATCCGCCGCATCAACACAAAACATATGACACTTTAATGGGAAGGAACTTTAATAAAACTAGGAAACAATACAGGAAAAGCAAATAATCTAGTTTCTAAATGAAACACCCAAAGTTACCCATCCCCTCGTGGGTAAAACTCCATCCAAATGGGATCGGCCCAGAACAAGGCCCCAAAGCCTGCCACAAGTCTAAAGCATCTTCCAGTGGGGACCCACAGAAAAGGGTCACAAACAACCAGACAAGCCCGGAAGGAAAAGAGCAAAATCAACATCAAGATAAAAGCTGCCATTGTCACCTCCCCATGGGTCTCACCCACATCTGTGTCACCCAGTCCACGACCAAAAGACAAGCGCAGTTTCTTCACGTGTCTCTAGGCTCCATGCGCCTCCTCCAGGTCTCCTGGCTCCATCCTGCTTCCTTCCTTCCTCAGTCTCTTCTGCAGCTTCTCCTCTTCCTGCTCAGCTCCACCCTCCCTTGGGTGGGGCAGGGAACCTCCCCCTTTCCTGGGGACCACCCTGTTGCAGACTGACTGAAATACACTGCTGAGGGGAGCAACGGGCGAGACATGAGAGGTCTGCTGCACCATGTGGGTAGCTCCATAGCTGGCCAGGGATTGATCTTGTGCTGCAGAGGCTGTGGATAGCTTCACAGTATTGTGCTCAACCCCTTGCACCACCAGGGAGGCCTGATTTGGGGCCACTCTAAATCCAGAATGATTTCTTCTTGAGATTCTCCATTAATTGCCATCATCCCTCAGTATCTAAGGAGGACTGAATTCAGAAACCCAGCAGACAAAAACCCTCAGGTGCTCTCTATAGTCAGCCCTCCACATCTGTGGGTTCTGTCACCACAGATTTGGCTGAATATGTGAGTGTGGAACCCATAGATTTGTAGGCCTTATTGTGTTCACTGGGGGGAGAATCCATATATAAGAACCCTTGCAGTTCAACCCATGTGCTCGTGGGCTGCTGTACTAATTCAAGGTCAGCTGTACTAGTTCAAGGTCAGCTGTATTAATTACTTAACTAGTCTTGTGAAGACCCTGTTTTCAAATAAGATCACATTCTGAGATTCTCAGGGGACATGAATTTTGAGGGGGAGGATACTATTCAATCCACTCCAGGACCCTCTTATGATACCCCAGTTCAGTTTGCAGTGTAAGTTTGGTCAAGTTCAGAGTATCTCTGGATCTCCCTTGTGAAATGGAAGATGAGGTCATATTTCCTGCCTATGATTTGATCAGGACTGAAGAGGTCAGGAAGTGAAAAGACTTAAAAGTTGAAAGGTATATATAGAGAAAGTATTAAAACTATCAGTGTGCATTGGTTCTACAAAGGCCCCCATTCCAGCTAGAAGGGATCATGCTCAGCGAAATAAGTCAGAAAGAAAAAGAAAAAATACCAGATGGTCTCACTCATAGCAGGAATTTAGAAAACCTAAATAAGAGACCAGGAAAAAGACTAATCAATACAAAGTAATAATCAAAATCAACAAGCAACTATAAACCAGAGACACGCTATGGGGGAGGGAGAGGTGGAGAGAGGAAGGACTAGAGTCAAAATAAGGGGGGTGCAATTGTATGGGGAATATAACCAAAATGAAAATGCATACATTGTGCAAAGATGAAAAATGATGTAAGAATTATATAAAATAAAATATTTAAAAAAAACAAAGGCCCCCATTCCAGCCCTGACCTCCCCCTCCACCCCTGCAGTGCCCTAACCGCACCCCCTTGTATAGATCATATCAGCACACACCTGCTGCACCCAGCTCAGGGCTTCCTGCAGACCAAGACACTTCCCTAGACAGCAGAGGCAGAACAGATGCCAGTTCATTTCTACATAGCACCTGCAGCCTGGTTTTCATTGGGCCCAGACTGGTTTCTTTTATGATTTGGAATCTGCAAGCTGATTTTCACACAGGATGGAAAATTTCCTATTCGTTTTCCTTCCATAGCTCAGCTCTCAGCCAGCCAGTGTGCCCCTTAGCTCTAAGTGGAGTAGCTCTGGGTATCCTGATCTGCCCTGCCTCCATCCACAGCTCTCCCTCCTCCTCCCTGAGGCTGAAACATGTCCTCCCCCACCATCCCAGCTGAGTGACTTGTGGCCTTATCTCCCTCTCCCCCAGACCCTGCTTCGCGACGGCAAACGTGAGAGCATCGTGAGCACCCTCTTCATCTCCCCCGGGGACGTGGAGAATGGGCAGAGCATCGTGTGCCGAGCCACCAACAAAGCCATCCCCGGAGGGAAGGAGACCTCGGTCACCATTGACATCCAGCGTGAGTACTGACACGATGGGCCATGGGGGCGGGGGGGCACTCGCACCCCTGACCCTGAGCACAGGTTGGAGAAGGGGCCAGACTTGGACAGCCAGCTCAGCAGAACCACACCCGGCTTCTTGGGGCTCTCTCTGTGGCCGTCCGAAGGAAATGGGGTGGACAGCTCCACAGACTGGCTGTATTTGTACTTATGGGGGCCCAAGGGACCATCTTGGCCTTCTTATTGTCACATGAAGGAAGAACACCATAGTTGACGACCCTCTGCCAACAATATGTTTAAGTCGCATGTCCACATCTGTGTAAGGTCGAATTCCACATCAGTAAGTATCTTGGTCAGCCCCTGCCCCCAATGGCCTAGCCAGGCGGCCCCACACCATCCCAGGGAGAGGAAATCAGAGCAGAGATGCTGGGACCTGGTGGGCACTCAGCAGTCTAGAGTAGGGGAGTAGCCACATGCTGTAGTGAAGCCAAGACCCTGGCTCTCCACACCCACCTGCTTCTTCAGTGAGGCAGCCACAACCTACGGCAGCAGGCCCAGCCTCAGAGAGGAAGCCAGATGCTGTGGAGACCAGGTGCCCAACATCCACTACCCGGGAGCTGTGCATGGTTAAGCGTGTCCCTTCCCCAGGAGGGACTGCGGGTCCTCGTCTGACTGCACTGAATGACACCCAAGGGCTCCTCTCGCCCTAAGTGCGGGTCCTCGTCTGACTGCACTGAATGACACCCAAGGGCTCCTCTCGCCCTAAGTGCTGTCCCCAACACAAACCAAACCTGGGAGCTATGAGGGTGGACACACAGACAGCCCAGCTTCCCACTTCCAGGCTGCCAGGTGTGGCCTCTGCCCTCCCTCCTTCCCCACCAACCCCCAGCCAGGTCAGGAAGCCCATGCAGCCCACAAAAGAAGCACCTACTCAGCTCCCCACAGCAGCGGGCTGAATCCTGACAGGGACACGCCCTGTGGAAGCTGTGGTTCTGCTCCAGGTCATTGCCCATCACACCAGGAGAGCCTCTCCTGTCAACAAGAAAGTCATCATCATAACAACCCTCCCCCACATTAAAAGGCCATCCTCTGAAAGTACACTAATGAGATGATCAATTTACCGGGGTGCAGAGATGACAGTCTACATGGGAGGAGAACCCCACATTGCCAGTTTTCCCTACCCTGGCTGCCTTTCTTTACAAGGATGTCTCAGCCACGTGAAGGGGAGGCATCTGGAATGAGGTCCAAAGGGAACAGAGAGCCCAAGTGCCAGGTTTCCCAGATGGGCCCCATGCGCGGCAACATGGAGTCAAAATGAAAGCCACAGCGTTCTCCCTGTTTCTTCTGGCCATGCCACTTCCAGGGTGATGTTGGCCTGGTAAAACTGTCTGTGCCTGGGCCTCCTCATACGCCCAGCCTTGCTCATACAGTGGCCCTGAGGGTTAAATCAAGTTGCCTGGGATGTCTCCAGCATGGCAAACACACCTGCTAGCTGTCCTACTGTGCACCGTCCTGAGGGTGTGGTGCCCTCCTCGGGTGTCCCCAGGGCCCTAAGAAAGTTACAGTTTCCTTCCCTGTGTCCCCAATCTGAAGGTGTTTGCATGTGCGTGCCAGGAAAAAGCACAGGCTCTCTCCACTCTCTGTCCTCACCTCCTCCCTCCTCCATTAATTCATTTGTTCGTTCAATAAGCATCCAACTGTTTATTGTGGACACCATGGGCCGTATCAGCGCTGCCTTTGCAAACCTGCTCATTTTCTCAGTCAACCAAGAAGCATCCCAACTCAGCAAAAGCACATTTGGTGTTTGTTTCCCTTGGTCTTTCTATGTTACCCAACGGAAGACAAAGCCCCCAGATTGAGTAATGGGAGAGAAAGCTTAACGCCCCCAAAGTCTCGCTACATCTGGACTCCGCATCCAGCTGCCAAGTTTCAAATGAATGTGCTATAAAATCACTGAGTCATGGAGTTTCTCTCTTTTCCCACCCCCTTTCAATGTAATACTTCCTCTAAACATACACACACACACGCATGCAGGTTGTTGATGGAAACACTAACAGACTCTCAGCTGTAACATCTGTTCAATATGATCTCAGTTCCACCAGCTACATCAAAGCTGCCCTCCTGCAAGTTATGCAGCCGACATCACAAGTGGGATTAAAATCATGTGTAATAGTTGGATATGACATAAACTATTTATACCTCTGGAGCCTGACAGACTCCTAAAAATTCATATCCTGCGCATCCAGAGAAGAGGGGTGGAGTGAGGGACACAGGCACCTCTGGGCCTGGGGTGGAGGTGTGGCAGCCCTGAGGGCTGATCTCCTGTGGCCCTCAGGAAAGGCTGGGCACCAAGGATCTTGCAAAGAGGTAGGGAAACTGCAGGAGAGAGGCGTCCACAGTATAAATTAGGACTGGCAGGTAGGATCCCTCAACAGGTGTGAGTGCCATAAAGCCTCATTACTTTACAAAGGGCATCTAGGTGGGGAGAGGCCTCCTGGAACTACCACCCCCCCTCCATGTTCTGCAGTGGGTTTCTACATTCTAGCAAGCTGGCACCAGCACCTCCTCCACCAAGAACTGGGTTGAGGCACCCCACTCAACCTCCTGGGATTTAATTTCATATGTGAGGACGAGTCAGATATGTGTTTGGATCCAGAGGTCAATTACCAGATTCCTAGGCCTCAAGCCATGTTTCTTCAACCCACAGTGAGATGCAAGCTCCTCCATGGGCTTCTACAAATCTGGGGATAGCACCATCAGAACCCTAGAGTCCCACTCATGCCTGGCGTAGCTAGCCAGCCCTGGATGGAAGGTGACTTGGGACTAGACTGGCCCTGGACTAGCTGGTAGTCCACAGCCGGGTAGGCCAGTGCTCAGGTGATGGCCGAAGCTGCAAAGAGGCTACAGGGTTCTGGAGAGCTTAGCTGTCCCCGGAGTTGAGAGGAGAGCTCTCAGGGATAATCCTGGCCACGCCTATCTTTGTGACCACTGGAATTACACTTTCAGAACCAAGATTGAGATCATCAAAATACCTGTCACTTCCCTTATAATTTCCCATAAAAAGGCAGGCAAGCCAGCTGCTCGAAAGCAGATGTTGTCAGGATTGCAGTTCCCATCTGGAAACAGGGGAGAACAGGCCCCCCCACCCTGTTGCCCCTACCCAGGCAGCCACCTGCTGCTCAGGAGCCCAGAGGTCTCCCCCAGTGACTTGCAAGCTTTCTGCAGATACCAGCGCCCCTCCATGGGCCATCTGCCAGGTCATCTGCCAGCCTCAGCACCCAGGTCCCAGCACTGGGCAGGGACACATGGCCCAGCTTGAGCTCCTTCCTCACAGAGGCCAAGGGGCCAAAGAATCCCCATTGTGGGCAGACAGGTCTCAGGTCACAGCTAGGGGCTTTGTGTGTCTCTCTGAAAGTCACGGGACCATGCCTGCCACAGTCGGGCAGGCTGGAGACCTCCTCCCCTCCAAGTGCCCTTCCCGTGCATCCAGGTCAACGTTTTTCTTGATGGTCCCTGGGACACTGTCTTCTTTCCTTCTTTTTCTGAAAATGGGCTGAGCTCCTAGAAAGTCCTCATGACCTTCCAGCAATTTGTTCTGCTTCTTGGTGAGGACAGGAGAAGAGGCAGCCCAGGGCCCTGGTCAGACTGTGGGGAACACGCTGGCCCTTAACTCAGCCAGTGTCAAGTTCCAGCCAAACCCGCAGTTCATGGCAGGACAGAGGACAGGCACTGGCTGCCACTCCCTCCCCAGGAGTGTGGAGATGGGGGGCCAAGGTGCAGGCCCCAAGCTTTTAGCAAGGTCCCAAGCCAGCTCAGCAGATCAGGCCAGGCGGGCCGGAGGCTGCTGTCCGGCTGCCTCTCCACTGTCTCTGCAGATCCTTCCATTTCTATCTTTATCTCTCAGTGTCTATTTCTTCCTCTCTTTTATCTGGTCCTCATTGCTTTGTTTGGTCTTTCTCCCCAACACCCTGTCATTTTCTGTCTGTCTGCTCAGTCCCCCTTGGTCTTTATACTTTTGGTCTGAAATCTTTCCCTGATTATGTGTCTCTATGTATATCGGTCTCTATCTCCCTGCTCTCTGCTTCTCTATTTTCTCTGTCTTTTTTCCAGATTCTTCCTCTGCGTTTCTCTCTGTCTCCGTGTCTCTGTATCTCTCTGCCTTTCTTTTCCTGCCGCTCAGTCTCTCTGTCTTTTCCAGTCTCTCCATTTTTCTCTCTTTTGTCTCTCTTCTTGTCCCTCTGTCTTGTCTCATTTCTGTCTTTCTGTCCTTCTCTCATCTGCATGTCTCTCTTCCAAGTAGGTACCTCTCTGCCTGCCTCCCACTGCTCTGAACCATCTCTGTGTGTCTCCATGTCTCTGTTTCCTGTCTCCCCACCCAACTTCCTGTCTCCCCTACCTCCCGCCATTTAGCACTGGGAGCCTGGCTTCTCCTCACCTTGAATGAGGAAGATGAGGCCTACCAGGGAGCTGAGGGCTGGGTGACACCAGTCAGGACTGGCAGAGATGATTAGGCTGATGAAAAGGTGTGAAAGCCACTTTCAAAGTAACAGATGCACCGGAACCTTTTTACCAAGAGAGATGAAGCAGACATTTCACAGACAGAAAGTTCATATTAAAATGGGGCTTTGTGTCTATACTCTCCCTTCTGCCCCCTGTACGCCCGCTTCCAGCCTCTCTTTTCTAAAGTGCTTTGTTCTCCCTAAAATCTAGAAGATGCGCAGCCTGCACCTGGGCCTGGGTAATCCTCTTCCTGGCTGGATGCTCATTTAAACACTAAACCTAGACCAGAGGGAGCCCTGACCCCACCACCAGCACTGCTGAAGCTGGCCCCTCCTGGAGATGAGGGAGACCCTGCTGAGGGCCCCCAACTTTCTGAGGACCCCCACCCTGGATAGTAGCTGCTCTGAGAGTCAAGCTCTGTGAGCTCTGCCCTCCATGTCTCACAGGGGGCCTTCCTGCCTCCGTTCTTTCCCCCAACCATGGACACAGCATCCCAGTCTGCAAGGGACTTTCTTCTCTCTACAGACCCCCCACTTGTCAACCTGTCTGTGGAGCCACAGCCGGTGCTGGAGGATAATGTGGTCACGTTCCACTGCTCTGCAAAGGCCAACCCAGCTGTCACCCAGTACAGGTAAGAGGCACAGCGAGGCCAGGAGCCCTCCTAGCACATGTGGTGTCAGGTGTGATCCTGGCACCCAACACAGGGCTTGGTTCACTGTGGGTGTCAAAGAGCCTCTCCCTTCCATGCCACACCCATCCACCCTGGGCAGGTGAGGACGCCTCTCCTCACATCCACCTCCTCCCACCCACCCTGGCCAGAGCAGCTCTTCCTTCCCTTTGTGCATGCTTTTTCTCGCTTCCACTAGAGATGGTGGGTATGACCCCTCTGCTTAAATAACTTGTTTATCCCTTGTTTCTGAAACAAGGGAGAGAGGCTCAGGACAAAAAGGTAAAACAACCAGGAGAACCAATAAGATTGCTAGCAGACAGACTGAGGGGCACCCCAGGACCCCCAAACCTTGCAAGCTCCAGATAGGCTCTGCCATCCACCACATAAAGATGAAATATGCTTAGTGTGTAAGACCTTCAATAGAAAAGAACTTTATTTTTTAAAAGATTTATTTATGCATGCAAGAAGTCGGGTGTAGGCCAGAGGTGTGAAGGGTGATGGGATTCACCAGAGACAGAGTGGGGAGCAGAACAGGCAGACTGACTGAAATACACTGCTAAGGAGAGCAGCAGACAAGACAGGAGAGGTCTGCTGCTCCTTGTGGGTTAGCTCCCAGGGCAGGGATTGAACTCAGGCCACAGCAGTGATAGCCTGAGTACTCAACCCCTAGGCTACCAGGGAGGCCCTAGAAAAGAACTTTAGTAGAATTACTGTGCAATAGAAAGAAAAGAAAAGAAAGAATAATATTTTCCAATTAAACACCCAGTTACCGTTGCAGATAAATGTCCAGGCAAACAGGGTTGATCCAAAGCAGGGCCACTGAGGCCGGAAAGCCTGCCACAAGTCTAAGGAACCTTCTGGTAGGGTCCCATAGGAAAGGGCCAGAGGAGGGCCAGGCAAGGAAAAGAGCAAAATCAAAATACAAGTCAGGATAAAGGCAACCATTGTTGCCTCCCCACAGGTCTCTCCCCCATGTCCTTATCTTTCAAGTGCCCTTCCATGTGCTCCAAGTCCCTGGTTCAAGGCCCAGGCCAAGAAGCAAGCAGGGCTTTTTCATATGTCTCTGCTCCACATGCCTCCTCTAGGTCTTCGCCCTCCCTTCTCTCTCCCAAGTCCTCTTGAGCTTCCCCTCGATGCTCAACCCCACCCTTCCGTAGGTGGGGCAGGGAATCTGGAACCTCCCCTTTCTATGGGGATGACGCCATTACAAGATCAGGATCTGGACTGAGTCATCTGTGCTCACCGAACTGCTCACGGGATGGAGTGAGCACAGCAGCCCTGTCCTGAAGGCCCCTCTCGCTCATCTCCATGACCCCTTGCAGCCCCTGCTCAGCACACTGACAAGCGCTTCGCTGTCTACATGCTTGTCTTTCTCTGGTGACTGGGCTTCCTGAAGGCAGGAGCTGGCGTGCGCCCCGCAGCTCTCAGCACACAGCCCAGGGCACGGCCAGATGAGGGGGTCTGCAAGGCAGGTCTACACGGCTCTGGGAGCCTTCCCATCTGGGCAACCCCATCACACAAGATTTCAACGGTCTGGGTGACCTCAGAGGTGCTCAGGGGAAGACACGAGACATTCCTCTGACATCTCATGGGTCTCACCGTGACCGTAACCCAGCCACTGTGCCTCCTGCCGGCCCAGCCTTGCAGGTGGAGCCCAGTGTGTCACCTCTGCCATCGAGAAGGGTTATTAAGCTGCAGCATCAGCCAATGCCAGGGATGCTAATGGTCCCAGACTAGGAAATAAGCCAGCCGGTGGGAGTGAGGACAGGAAGACAGGTGGCAGTGCAACTGCAGAGGGTAGAAGGCGAGGAAATAGACCAAAGTGGCAGTTAGGGGTTCAGGTCAGACTGGAGAAGGGGCTCCCTGCAGAGCAGATAATTAAACTATGCAGGAACCAAAACCCAGGAAAGACCAGAGTCTTTATCCCTGAGAATATTTTAAAATAGGATGAAAATCCATCTGTCCTATCCAGTTTAAGCACTCTCTGAGCTCAAAGCAGGAGGAAGATGGGATGATATTCAGGCTCCCTGAAGTCGTGTGACCCAGGAGGTCTGGGGGCAGGTCTAATTCAGCCAGAATCCACATTGCCTAAAGCCAGTAAAGATGCAAAAGAGAACACCCAAAAAGACTGCCTTTCACCAAGCTCCCCCCCTCACCTGCAACCTGGGATCCTCTCTTCCCTGGCTAGCTCTCCACGCTCCATCCCGAAACACCCAGCACCACGTGCCCAGAAAACCCTCGAATGCCAGTTTCCCTGGGCAGCGATTCACCCCCACAGACCACCTTGGCCAGGCACACCCCACATTTACCCTCACAGCCATCCCAGGAATGCCTCTTGCACGCCAGAGATCAGAACACACAACTTCCAACTTGCAGTTCTCACCGCCGAGCTCCCGTCCACTGAGGACCCAGCTGTGGTTGGGGCGGAGGGGAAAGGCTATGCCCCAGGACCAGCAGCAGCCTTCCTTCTGACCACTTAGACCCCATGGGGTGAGCAAGCACCCGAGAAAACAGGTTGCAGGGCCTGATTCCCTCAAAATAACAGAGCACCAACAATGATGACAAGAATAAGGTATAGGGACTCCCTGGTGGCGCAGGCGGTTGAACGCTGCACTGTAAAGCTGTCCACAGCCTCTGTAGCGCCGGTTCGATCCCAGCTGGCCGGCGAGAATCCCACATGGCGAAGCAGACCTCTGTCTCGCCCGCTGCTCCCCTCAGCAGTGTATTTCGTCAGTCTGCCCGTTCTGTTCCCCATTCTGTCTCTGGTGAATCTTCTCACCCCCCGCACATCTGGCCTGTACCCTGGTTCTTGTATAAATAAATAAATCTTTAAAAAAAAAAAAAAAGAAGAAGAAGGTATAAATGGGGCAGGGTATTAACAACTGGTTGGGAAGGAAATACTAGTTGGACTATTCTTGCATCTTTCAGTGTTATGTTTTGTTTTTTAACTAGAAAGTCAATTAGCAAACAAACAAACAAACATAGCAAGTGCAGGCTTCCTGGGATAGGGAACCTGAGGCTTTTTCTCCATCTCCAGCTGCCCCACAGCTCAAGGTCACAGGTCAGCAGGTCCTGGATGGGGGAGGGGTAGAAGGGGCTGGGAGGGCAGGGCTCCCTGGAGCTGAGCTGGGTCCTTCCTTGTGCCTTCCTTCCTGTCCTTCTGATTAGCCCAAAACCCTAAGAATACTGCAGTGCACATCAGGCCTCAGAGGCTTCTGGGAGCCCTTCTAGCTGCTGGAGGACAGTCAGGGTGGCCTGGATGAGGTGGGTGCAGAGGCCATAGGACACCTGCCCCCCTCCCAGGCCCCAGCACCACCCACACTGGGTGCAGGGCTATTCAACAGCCTGTCAGCTGTGACATGGCAGCCCTTCCCTCCTTGAGGTCTCCTCTGCAGGAGATGGTCATTCTGGATGTGGTGTTGGGCTCCAAAAGGAAAAGCCTTAGGCAAATCTCCTCACATAAGTGCATTGATTTTTCCAACTGACTTTGACAAGATTACAGGGGTCTTTGTTTCTCCGTCCATACGCCTTGATTGCTTCCTCCCTGTCGCACAGAAGATGCTGTGATATGAGAAATTAGAGATATGCTCTCCTGCACCCCAGCATCCAGAAGGGGTCATGGGTGATCCTAGAGGCCTGTCTGGCCAGATGGCCAGACTCAGCTGTCACTTCAGCTGGACCAGGAGAGCCCCCAGGTCAGCAGACTGGCCCCACCATCACGAAGTGCATCTCCTACCTGCCTCTCTGCTTCTCCTTTGAGGGTCTCAGTACCCCCCCAGCCCCCAGGAACTGGAGAGGGGACTACCACCCGATGTGAAACGGGGACTATTGGCTGGCCTGTCAGCTGTGACTTGTCAGGCCTTCTGATTCTGTGATATAAATAATTAATCCTCTTACATTTGCTCAGGCCATAGTAAACATTGATTGGGAAAGTCTTAATCAGGCTCCTTTTCACAGGGTGGGAGAGCTGGTGCAAGCATTGGGGGTGGGGAAGCAGAGGTGCAGAGGGCAGCGGGAACTGGAAGAGGAGGAAGCGAAAGCAGAAGAACAGAGGAAAGGAGAGGAGAAAAAAGGGAAGGGAGAGGGGAGAGACTTGCTCTCTGGTTCACCCTTAACCCTGTGGCCAGCTAGTTGAATGAGTGGTGTGAGCTTCTGGAAGGATCCCTACAAAGGGATGTTTTGGTGTGGAGGAGAGAAAAGCAGGGGAAAAAAATACTGGTTGAGCAAAATGTGCGCAGGGGACTCAAGGGATGTCCCAAAGGTCTTGACCTTGGGGACCTCACTGCCTGGCACCCACAGCCAGCTCCTGGGAGAGGATATCCTGCTCCCCCTTCCACCTCTAAGGTAGGGATGGCCCTGGGGAGCTATGGGCAGCAGTGGCACAGAGGGCCAGGCTCAGACAATGCAGCTCTGCCAGGAAAAGAAAGTTTGGTGCCACGGCCGACCCTGCTAGTCTCCAGGCCTACGGGAGCACCAGCAGTTCTCGCGAGTCCCATCCCAAGGCCAAATCAGTGAAGCTTCTAACTGCCAAGATTCTTACCATGAGGGGCTCCAGACAGAGAGGAGAGGAGCAAGACCCATCAGAAGCAGTTCACCTTGGCCCAAGCCCACCCCAACCCCACACCTGTGCTGTAGCAGCCAGGAGCAGCAGCCTGGGAGGGACAGCTGGCCCTCCCTCCTCCAGGCCGGCCGGCTGCCCAGCCTCCCCTGGCACCCCACCCGACCCCCTCGCTTCGTCAGGGTGAAGGAGTAGAGGGTCAGACACTAATCCCCAACATGTGTCTGGGACTGAATTGAGGCAGGGGCTCTGCCTGACAATTAAGTCTGGTCATGAAATTAAAGTTAGAAATTGAAATGACTCATGAATAACTCATCATGGTTTATTGGGAAGCTCCTTAAGCTCTCAGGGAGCTCTGGTCTGCTTTGTTGTTAAACTATAATTGTTATTATTAATCGTGTTCTTAATAATTACCCCATATTAATTTGTGATAATAACCACATGGGGCCAGCCTGGACCACCCCTGTGATGCCAGGAGAGGTTGTCTCCCAGGGCTGCCCAGGCCGGAGTGAACAGGAGGTTCATGGAGGGAAGGGCAAGAGGAATCAGACTTCTGAGATACCAGGAAAGGCTCCAAATTGTGGGGCAGGGCAGGGCGGGGAGCAGGGAGGCAAAGGCAGGGCCAGAAGGGGGGTACAGGGAGTTATAGTCATGGGGTAACAACTGTGGATGCCAAAGAACCCCTCCATTCTGATAAAGACATACACCTTGAAAAAGGGAAGTAGGAAGAATCTGGTGGGAAATTTTGTGACTCAAAGAAGTGACTATTGTCCTGGGGAAAGGATGAAGTCTCTCTCCCTGGGGGCCTATAAGGAAAATCCCCATCCCCATGCTCAAGCACACGCTTCCCAGAGGACTCTGGGCACCACCCCATGGACAGCAGGCTGCCGGGTCACCCAGTCACTGGCCCGAAGCAGTGACCACCCCACGGCCAGCACCAGGATGGTCCCGATCCTGGTGGAACCGATCAGCCAACCAGGTCATGAAGAGGCCAGCACAGCCTTCCCTGGATGGAGTCCAGGTCACTGCTGAGGACCATAGGAATGTGGCAGCTGAGCAGAAGGAAGAGCTAGTGCCATCCCAGGAGCAGGGCTGAAAGGCTGTTCAGGGAGAGAGGGAACCCACCCTGGGGACAGGCCTCAGGACTGGTTACTGAGAGACTGCTGGCGAGGGGCAGCCAGGATACTGGCTAACACCTCTGGTCTTGTTTCTGTGTGTGTGTGTGTGTGTGTGCAAATGTGTGTGTGCTCAAGGGAACACACGCACACAGGTATGGGTACATGCCACTGGACTTTGGCCCCTGAGGTTCTGGACTCTGCCTTCTTCTTTGCCACCATGGCCCAGGATGGAGCCTCCAGTATAGCTCAGAGCGGGGGACTGTCTGAGCTGTCTGGGGACTGATGATTGGGTTACCCATCATCTGGCCAGTTAGCAGGACATTCAACTCCCCTCCCTCCGGAGTAACCTACTTGTTGAGTGCCACTGACTGCCCAGTGACCCACAGACCAAAGCCCGTGATGGATGCTTCCCCTACTGCTGGAAGTAACCCCTCTGTAGAGATGGTCCCTGAGGGACCCGAAGGTGTGCCTGCCTGTGCCACCTCACGCCAGACCTCGTTTTCCTGTGGGATGGATACATCAGCTCCCAGAAGTCCCCTGGGCAGGAGGGTTGTTTAAAGTCCTCACGGAGCCCTGGGGGCCTCTGTGCTAGGTGGGCCAAGCGGGGCCAGATCATCAAGGAAGCATCAGGCGAGGTGTACCGGACCACTGTGGATTACACATACTTCTCAGAGCCAGTGTCCTGCGAGGTGACCAACGCCCTGGGCAGCACCAACATCAGCCGCACGGTGGACGTCTATTGTAAGTACAGCTATTTGGGGGCTTCCTGGGAGGGGGCACTGGGTAGTCTCTGCTCAGGAATGAGCCGCCTCAGAATTCATTGAACACAACAACAGCACCCGCCTCCCAACTCAAAATGCTGGGCACTTTCCAGAAAGCTTCATTGTGGGGAGTTCTGAGTTTATCTCAACCCCCATCATAACCCAAGAAGGCAGGTATTTTTTTTCTTTTAAAGATTTATTTATATTTATACCAGAGCTGGGGTACAGGCCAGAGGCACGGGAGGGTGAGAGGACTCATCAGAGCCAGAGTGGGGAACAGAACAGGCAGACTGACGAAGTGCACTGCTGAGGGGAGCAGCGGGTGAGACAGGAAAGTTCTGTGACACCATGTGGGAATCTCCCTGACCGGCTGGGGATCGAACCCCCACTGCAGAGGTTGCAGACAACCTCACAGTGTTGCTCTCAACCTGCTATGCCACCCGGGAGGCCCCGAGGCAGGAATTATTATTCCCGTGATCCAGATGGGTAGATGGAGGCCCGAGGTCATGCAGTGAGTAAATGAGACTGAGCCAGACTCTGAGCGAATCCTGCTGCCTCCCACTGGGGCCTCACTACACCTCCTTCCTCACTGGGAGCCCCCCAGGGACCCACTGCAAGCCGGGCCACTGCCACTGGGCCAGCTGGATGTGTCCACAGATGAGCATGAACTCGTGTACACCCTTCTCAGTTCTAAAAGCTCTTTTACAAAATTTCTTTAGAGAAGACCACTCCCCTCGCCCCAACAGCCTCAACAGAAAGTGTTCCTGTTCCCTTTTTACATCAAGGGATAGATCTGGGTCTCCTGATCCAGATTTCATGCTCGTCTGCTCCCTGAAAGCAGTTGTCTGCATACCTTCCTGTCGCTGGGCCTGGTATGACACCATTGTACCCACTGGCAGCCAAGGCTCCATCTGCAAGAGGCTCAGGCTACAGTTGGAGGCCAGTGGAGAGAAGCCCCTGTATAGAGCTCACTGACACTTAGTGGGACATGGGCAATGGACCGAGAGCTGCCTACTACTGGGTGGGGCAAAAAAGAGGCTGGACAGAACTGGAATGAGAGAGAACCTGTGACAGCGGGTGGAGAATGGCAGAGGAGGCCTGGCCTCTTCGCTCCTCAACCTGAAGGCCCTCAGAGGGCCCTGGGAGGCTCAGGGAGCTAGCCAGCTACACGGGGCAGCTCCATTCCAATCTCCGGAGGAGGTAGGGCAGGTAACTTGAGAGTAGACACATCACTTCTGGGTCAGGAGGGAGCCCCCCTCTGCCTACAAACTGGCAAAGGGTGCTTCCTGGGAGCAGGACAGAGGGAGGGTGTGGGAGGGCCCTGGGGTCAGTCGGGGCAGAAATGGGGCCAGGTGAGTGCTGCTGACTCTTGTGGGGGGCCAGAGGAGTCTGAGCTTGGGCAGGGGGTCATTTCATCTCCAGACCCAGGCCAAGTCCAGGCAGAGAACTGAGGTGCAAGGGGATGGGCTGAGTGGACTCAAGTGGCACAGGTAGCCCACTGCTCCCTCCCTCCTATCAAGGTGGGGAAAAGGGAGGCAGCAGTAGGAAAAAGGGGCTCCAGAGCCCTCCCCTCCACCAGAACCCTGTCTCCTCTCTCCATCACAGTCGGGCCGAGGATGACCACAGAGCCCCAATCCCTGCTCGTGGATCTGGGCTCTGACGCCGTCTTCAGCTGTGCTTGGACAGGCAACCCGTCCCTGACCATCGTCTGGATGAAGCGGGGCTCTGGAGTGGTGAGTAGTCCACTCAGACCCCAGAAGGCCTCTGGGGCCAGGGTCAGGGGACCTCAGGCCAGGAGGAAACTACCCCCAGAGCCCCCTCACTCTCAGATCAGGGATGCCAGCCTCCAGCGTGAGCTAAAGGAAGGACCCCAGAAAGAGCCAAGGAAACCCCAGGTGCCCCCTCAGCCCTGAGCACCTTCGGCCATGGTGGTTTTGAACCTTGTATGGAAGCAGGTGGGATCACCTCCCAGCATCACCTTCGCTGGGAGTAAAAAGCCACGAGAAAGGCTTTTCAACTTTCCACAAATACTTGTCACCCTTTAGCTTTGGGTTAAGCTTTACCTTCTTCCTCTTTGAAAATGTTTGCCCTTCTCAGGGTGCTTCTGAGTTTGTCAGGTGCAAGCTAGCCTATGAGAGTCACTGCCCCTCCCTCAATCCCCCATCCTCCCTAATGCGCCTCCCCTCCCACCCCATGAATAAGAAAACAGCATCAGAGAAGATAACTCACCGCCCAAAGCCACACCGCCAGTCACCACTGATATCAGGATTGGAATTCAGAGCTAGTCAATGCCAAACTGTCTCCTTTTCTTCTCCCCAAAGTATATCCCAAAGGGATACAGAAAAGACAGGTGCAGGGAACCTCCAAGATGTTCAGCTGAAGGATAATTCATCCTGAGTCTGCCAAGTACAGTCGGGTCAGCAGCCCCTCCATATTTGAGGGGATCTGGGGGCTTCAGTCAGGGGGTCCCTCTACTCCCACACTCACTGCTTCCCATCACCCCCTCAGGAGTGCACAGTCCCAGCATCTTCAGCTACACAGAGTCCCCTGTGCTGTGACTGATCCCCAACAGCTCGAGCTGCGTAGTAAACCTTTCTCCGTCCTGCCACCACTGCCACCCACCCCGGGGGACTTTTTTTTTTTTTAAAGATTTATTTATTTATGTTTATACAAGAGCTGGGGTACAGGCCAAAGGCAAGGGAGGGTGAGAGGATTCACCAGAGACAGAGCGGGGAGCAGAACAGGCAGATGACAGAAATACACTGCTGAGGGGAGCAGCGGGCGCGACAGGAGAGGTCTGTTGCACCATGTGGGATTCTCACTGGCTGGCTGGGATCGAACCCACACTGCAGAGGCTGCAGACAGCTTCACAGTGTTGTGCTCAACCCACTGCGCCACCAGGGTGATCCCCAGGGGGATTTATTGATGTCAATTGCCACCAAGGTTGCTTCTCAGTCCTCTTGGTTCTGATGGAGACTGCCCCTATTCTCTGTTTCTGATCCTCCCCGATTCTCCTAGGTCCTGAGCAACGAAAAGACCCTCACTCTGAAAACTGTCCGCCAGGAGGATGCTGGGAAGTATGTGTGCCGTGCAGTGGTCCCCCGGGTGGGAGCCGGGGAGAGAGAGGTGACCTTGACTGTCAATGGTAAGACCCCACTCGTGCTAGGGCCAAGAAGTGAGAGAGATCAGAGAGGCACCCCAGGCATCTTGGTCCTGGATACCCAAAGGAGGGTGCCCCCTCATTGGTTCTGGGCCTTGCTACCACCTCCAAGTATGGACCCTTAGCAATTATGTCTACCTTTTCCATCCGAGCCCAGCCCCAAAGCAAGGAAGGGCCTGAGTCATTTTCTGGTCACCTCCTTCCCTCTTTGTTATATTCTAAGAGTGATAACTGATCAATTTTATCCTGGCCCGGAAAATGGGGTCAGAGGGTCACTGTGCAGCCAACATTGATCCCATATGTGCCCTTTGACCCACCCATTGTGACCTTGACCCTGGTGGGGACTTTAAAGGAGCATCTGTGCGATCCTGCTCAGCCTCTTCCCTTTGCCTTAGATCATTCAACCAGCAAGATCTGTCACCATACCCATGGGTCCAAGTGTACAGGGGCTCCCCTTTAGGGCAGAGAATATGTCTCATTGTATTAATAAAAATCATCACAGTGAAAGCATGCTCCTACGCCCCTCCCAGAATGCAGTGCAAGTTACTATATGCCTAGGAGGTGAAACAGTGAGAGTGGGTGGCAGGCCAGGCCTGGATGGTGGTGTGCAGAAGGTCATGGAGAAGCTGTGTCCCAGCTCAGCTCAGACCCAAGAGTTTTACTGCACTGGGATGGGAATCCACTGTCCTTGCAAGGTATGGGCTTAGTCCAGGGAGAAAACCAGGCTGCTAGTTTCAAAGGGTGCAGAATGCTGGGGATCACTTTGCCTTAGACCACTCAGCCAGCAAGATCTGACACCATGCCCATGGTCCAAGTGTACAGGGGTTCCCCCTTAGGGCAAAGAATATGCCCTAAGGGGCTGAGGTCCTCTGCTGCTTCCAAGCTTCCTCACTCTGCTGAATTTCTGCTTCTTTCTTACCTCTTTCCTGCTGGAGGCCCCTTGCAAACCTCCTGATTCCACCAATTTGCCAGGATCCCAGGGATGGCAGGGCCACATTCTAGAAATTTTCCCAGTTGACTTCATCTCAATCGAGGAGCCACCCACTGACAGCCTTGTGAATTCTCCCCCTTTGCTAGGTGCTTCCTCTCTTTACCCCCAGTAGCCAGTCCTATCCATTTTACTTCTTCGCCCTTCCCAGAGGGAGGGTGGATCCACCCAGACCCCGGAGCATTCACGGGTCAACTGTCCTGAGCAGAGCCATGACTCAGTCACCTTCCTGCCTTTCCTAGGTGTCCCCAGGATGCCACCAATAAATTGGCACTGCAGGGCTAAAAATAACAGCATCTGATCGCGCCTCTGTATATCCATGGCAACACGGCTGCAGCCTTTTCCTGCCAGCTCCGTCTGACACTCCACTCAGGCTCGGGGTCCTGGTGAAATCAGCGGCCTCCCCCGCTGCCTACCCCCTCCAGGAGGGCATGGGAAGTCCTACGGGCCCTGAATGGGTGGACTGGGGGCCCTCAGACTCACAAGCAGCCTCCAGAGCCCCTGAGCCTAAAGTTTTTAAATGAACATCCTCATTTCTGAGGTATATTAAGGAGGGTCTGACTTGTCAATGTCACTGTGGACATTCAGGCATTTCCGAATGGGTTTTAAAGTGGTTTTGGTCCCCTGTTACAGTTTCTCAGAGGAACCTTCCTCTTGGATGGGACCCCACAGCCCTGGTGTCTACCCAGGACTTAATCTGCCCTCTCTGGGTCATCTTTCCACCCTCCCTCCTCTGCCTCCAGTCCTTCCAGCACCAGCTCTCCTGGATTGCCTGGAAGGAAAAGGTCCAAGGGATTGGAATGAAGCAAGGAAGCTGAACTAGGGTCATCCTGCCCAAGGCAGGGGGATGGGTTAAGTGGCCCAGGAGAGGGCAGGACTGCCCAGCAAGGGAGCAGAAGTTTGTAGAGAGAGGGAGTAGCTCTTTGGAAAGAGCCAGACTAGGATGAAGGAACAGAAGGATAGGAGGCTCTCACCAAAACAAACCCAGACAGTGGCTAGCTGCTGGCCACCTCCCTTTGGGAAGTGAACTGGCACAGATTTAAACCACATTGGCTCAACTCAGGGATCTGCAGGAAGGGGAGAGGACCCACAATGCTACTCTTTGACACCACACCCACCCCCCATCTACCTTTATCCCGATTTCTGTTTTAACAACCATAGACCACCTGAGAAACCTCCAGGCAATTCCTCGCCCCTCGGCTGTAGGGGGAAAGGTTTGATGGCATCATCACCTTGTACCAGCAGCAAAACAAAGCTCCTTCCAAATTTCTAAAATATCCAGCCCTTCTCTGTTTCAGGCAAATATGCCTAAGGTATCTAAGAGAGGAACTGGGGGAGGGGAACCCACTTTTAAAGACTCCTGAGGGTAGAAGCCCTCCCTTTGAGGTCCCCCACATCTGCCGGACCCAGCCCCCAGCCACTTGCCATCCAAAACTCAAGAGAAGTCATCGGAGTGTTTCCTGGTACCTTTTTTCCCCTTGCCTGAGAGCTACTCATAGAAATGCAAATCTGTTTTAATTAAGGTGGCTAATAAACAGCAATTATGTTCGCAGCAATTTTTGGTTTGTTCCCAACATAACTTTGCCTGTCCTACAGGTCCCCTGCTCCGTTTCCTGTTTTCTGGGTTGAACTTAGGCTCAACCCTTCCTCCAGGGATTGGAGAGGGGGCATGAGGGCTTCCATCCCTATACCCCTGGCTCCAGCAGCCCACCCCTCCGTCCAGTCCCCCTTTCGCTTCCAGGAGAGCATCAGGGAGAAACAACTTAGGTTAAATGAAAGGCAGAACTGCAGGCCTCCCCTGGTGGCGCAGCGGTTGAGCGCTGGGCTGCGAGGCTGCCCACAGCCTCTGCGGTGCCGGTTCGTTCCCCGGCCACCAGTGAGGGTCCCACAAAATAAAACAAAACAAAACAAAAAAAAAAGGATGTGCTGCTGGACCTCAGGTTCCAGGTGTGCCCTCTAGACCACCAGATGCAGTCAACGAGACAAGAACTCCCAGAACCTGAAATCCATGTCACGCCCGCACGCTTGCAGGAACTGGAGGGGTAATGCGGGTCTGGAGCCATGGACTCACCCTCTGGGTATGCAGGTGCCCGCAAGCAAGGTGATGAACTGCAGGACTTCCTGAGATATAAGTGCAATGGGCACTATGAACTTGCCCAGCGCATCCCACCTTGCGGGTGATTCCCCTTGATGGTGGAACATCACCTTTTCTCATCGCTACCCTGGCAGCCACCCTAGCATGCTCGGTTTGTTGGGCAAGCTCGCCCTCTACTGGATATCTAAGAAAATTGCTTAAAATTCAACCGCTAACGTGGAGGTGACATAGTCCCAATTCTCTTTCTCCTGACACCTCCTCTACTCCTTTTTCAGGCTTACCACCTCCTTCATAAAGCTCTCACGATCCACCAGGGAAAATTATTCTTCCTGCTCTGAAGTCGGTTAGCACTTCATCTGCACCGCCTCCCTGCCTGTGGTGCTAACACACCACCTTTTATTACAGTTACTTGTGTCTTCTGGGCATTCAGACACAGAAGCATCCACCCACCATCCCTGGCGAGGTTGTGACTGGCACATCATTTATCTTCTAACCCCTTGCCTTGCACACACAGACCATCAGTAAATGTTTGCTGATTGATTGAATTAGTTAATAAACTCTGAATCTACCCAGGCAGGGACCTGCCCTTCCTGAATCACTGATGTGAAGCTGTCTCCCCAACAGGGCCCCCCATCATCTCCAGCACCCAGACCCAACATGCCCTCCATGGAGAGAAGGGCCAGATCAAGTGCTTCATCCGGAGCACGCCGCCCCCTGACCGAATCGTGAGTGTGCGGGGTGGGGTGGGCAGGCGGGGCCTGCTGCCAGCATGCTCAGCAGCCAGTCATCTCTGCCTGGAGCTTGGGAGTACTTGGTGCCCACCTCTAAGCTTCCTCTTTCCTCTGTGGGGAAAATTTTTCCTGTCTTGTGAGTCTTGCCAAGGCATCGCGAAGACAAAACTCAAAGGCAGTCTCCTTTCTCAGAACCAGTGCTCCTGGCTGACCCACAAGCATGCTAGCCACCCCCCTGCTCTTCTGGGGAGCACCGAAATGAATGGTTCTAACCAAATTCTGCACCCTGGGAGCTCAGGGCCAAAGATAAATGATGTCTTCCCTTTTCTGGGTTCAAGGCCAGGCTTTGGCAAACTCCTGAGCAGAGTGAGGTTTGTAGCTGTGCACCGGGAAGTCCTCTTCTTTCAGCCTGAGCTGCTCGGGGACCTTGGAGAACCCAGCCCCATTTGTCAAAAGTTCTCCCAGTGAGAAGTATCATTCCATCACCACCCCCATCCCCACTGCCTCAAAACTCACACCCTTACAGCACAGCCAAGGGGACGTGGTATTTGCATTTATAAATGTCAGGGTCTGCCCCCCCAAGTCCTTCTGGAACTGGTGAAAGCCCAGGTAGGAAGACAAAGAGAGGCAGGCATTTTGCAACACTTCGGGGAGCAGGTGGTATTTTTAGGAAGCCCCAGTGCCTAGCACAGTCCTGCTAGCAGACAGTCCAGGGTCAACCCTGAAGGCTGTGTGGCCCCACGCCGGGCAGGAGCTGCAGAGGTGGGCATGCCTGAACCCTGCGTGCCTGGGGCTAGGACGCTGAGGCAGTAAATCTAAGTGTCATGCTGTCAACTAAGATATTGTTAGAGCATTTGTGCTGTTACACACTATCTCGGGCATTCTGTTCCTTCACTCAAAGATTCACACAAAAATTGCAAGTATTCAGGGGTAGAACTAGTACGTAGGCCTCCCCGTTCGCTGCACTATTCTAATATTTTTAATTGTAAGTGTAGCACGAGCCCATGGCAGCGTATTCCACTCACTCTATCTCTGGGCACATTCACACTCTCCCTCCCTCACAGACACCTAACTTTGGGCCAGCCCTGCACCCCAGCAATTCCCCTCAGGGGACATTTGGCCAAATCCAGAGATGTCTTTTTTTTTCTTTTTTGGTTGTTACTCTTGGAGGGAGGCCACTGGCCCCAGGGAGGCTGCTAAACATCCTACAGTGTGTGGGACAGCCCCATACAACCCAGGATTATCGGTCCAAAATGTCAACCAAGAACGAGAAGCAGCTCTGGCTGCCCCCGGCGCTGGCAGCAACCCCACTCTCACAGGCTTTGCACCAGTGGCCTGCTCACTCAAGTGTTTGCAGAAAAATCACATTTGTGAAGAAAATTTTTAAATATCAGAAATCAAAATTCAAGTTTAGTGCTTACAGACTAAGATAAAGATCATCACACCTACGACTCCTGGAGCACAGCTTGTACAGACACACAAAGTAACAAAGCCAGACCCAGCTGCAGGTGGGGGGGCTGGCCTTCACCCCAGCACACCTGCCAGAGGGTAACGCTGGGGTGACTGCCACTGAGGAGGGACTCCATGTGCTGCACACGGGTTCCTGGAAAACACCTCTAGTGCAGGAACCACATAGGGGCTCTTGTCAGAAATACCCCCTGTGGGATCCAACCTCTGCATGTATGCACATGAGGATGTGTGTTTGTGGGGTGTGGGGTGATGTGTGTGCACATGCACCTGTGTGTACACCTGTTAGAGATATGTGTGTAGACACGTTTGCATATTGTGTGTGCCTTCTATACATGCGTTTGAGTGTGTTGTGTTGTGTGTTCCTTTATGGTGTGTTGTGATATGTGTAACTCTGGTTGCACATGTTTGGAAGTGTGGTGTGCCTGTACATGTATTGGCACCGTTTGTGGTAGTGTCTGTACACGTTTGTGTTGCTGTGTGTGTGTACTTAGGTGCATACTTGCTGATGTGTGTGTACGCATACTTGGGATGTGGTGTGTGCACGCATACTTGGGATGTGGTGTGTGCATGGACCCCTGTATGCACGTGCTGGCGCTGGTGACAGCAGGGAGCCGGCACAGTGGTCCTGGTATGGGTGGCTCTTGTGAGGACCTGCCCCTAATTCTGTGCATGCTGACAGGCCTGGTCCTGGAAGGAGAATGTGCTGGAGTCAGGGACGTCGGGGCGCTACACTGTGGAGACGGTCAGCACAGAGGAGGGCGTCATCTCCACCCTGACCATCAGCAACATCGTGCGAGCTGACTTCCAGACCATCTACAACTGCACGGCCTGGAACAGCTTCGGCTCTGACACGGAGATCATCCGGCTCAAGGAGCAAGGTGGGCCGCCCGCTGGACATAGACAGCAGGCCCTCCCCACCTAGGGCAGGGCCCTGGCCAAGGCCTTCAGGTCCTGAGGGGACAGTGCCTCTTAGAGGCTACAACCTGGTTGGGGCCCAAGGACAAGTCACAGCTCTTCCTCACTTGCCATACAGCCTCAGGCAGGTCAGCAGAAGTGTCCCCCCACGGCCCCACCCCAACCCTACACAGCCACTAGCCTGCCCCAGGAAGCAGGAGAGAAGAAAACTGGGCAGCGTGGTGCCCTGAGGGCCACATATCGAGAGAGGCGGCCACGAGGCTGGGCACAGTAATCCCACCCGGCAGCTCCCGAAGGACCTGACTCCCCCTCACTCAGGGTTTCCCTGGCGGGCCTTGATCTGCCCCAGAGCACCCCCAGGGGTGCGGTGGTGGGTGCAGGGATGCTCTGCATGGACATGTTGGGGAATCTGGCTCACCCTATTAAACAAGCATGTCCAGTTACCCAAAAGTGTCTCTCTGAGGTAGCGCTTGAGCTGTTCCATTCCCCCGCATGGGGGGAATAGGCTCAGACCATCTGCAGTACCCCCAGGGACCCAGGACATGTGGACCTCTAGGTGTGTTCTAGGGGTCACCGGCTGAAGGCTGAAGGCAGGAGGACTCCAAGCAGAGAGGGAGGATAGGGCGGAGAAAGTTCACCCCTCTGGGCAGATGTGGGGAGCCTGGGTGGGGTGTGGGGTGGTCCCCAAGAGCCCAGCAACCAGCCAAGAGCACACTGAGTCCTGACATGGGCTGCAGACCTCACCCCTTTGCCAGGGGGATTAGTTCATGGTGGACCCAGTGGTCCAGGGGGCCTGGGCCTGGCAGTCTCTGATCCCCTTCAAGAGGAAGGCCACCCACAGGCTGTCATGCCCTCCAACCCCTCCCCCCAAGAAATTCTGAGCCTGGCGACTAGTTGGCAGTTGGGTCCCTGGGGGTTCAGGATCCTGTGCATCACAGCATCCCCCAACACCTCTTCCCTAATAGGAGCTGCTTTGCATAACGCTTTGCCCATAATTTGCATAATATCATCCACACATCATTCCCAACCTTCCCAGTCCCGTTACTTACCCTCCGTGTCTTCCCCTTGATGCCCTCACCCCTCTGCCCTCTCCTTAGTGTGCTAACCCCCCTCTTCCCCACCCCCAGACTTGACTTCTCTCTCTGGTCCCTACCCCTCTGGAGTCTCTACGTCAGTCTGAAGGGGTCCAAGTTCACCTGGGTTAGCCTGGACCTGCGGGTGGTCTCGGAGTCATGATGGAGAAGGGAGCCCCCTCACCCCAGTCCCCTCCAAATAGCGGTCCCCCCCAGTCCCACCCCACCCTGGCCAGCCAGGCCCTGGCTGTGGACGCTTGCTTTATTTCCAAACAGGTTCGGAAATGAAGTCGGGAGCCGGGCTGGAAGCAGGTACGGAAGGAGACATGAGAACTGCCCGGGCTGGGGGGAAGGGATTTCTGGGCTAGTGGGGGAGGGGGCTCAAAAGAGGGTAGGGAGGCCTGTGTAGGCCACTAACTTCTCCACCCTCCCCCTTCTTCAGGGGTTAGTGCAGTCAGAACAGCAGGGGTCCCTAACCAGCCTGGGTCTAGGGACCCCAGAGACCTGTCTCCTAAGTGACTGAGCCAGAGCCCCACAGGCTCCTTGATCCCCAGGACCCTGGCTCTCGCCCCTCCCCCCACCATGCCTTCCACCCCTCTTTCAGAAGCCCTGACTCCTCTCCCTTGGGGTCAGCTCACCCCTGGCCTGCCCTCCCCCTCTCTCTAGTCTCCTTGATCTTCCTGCTCTTCAACCAACATCCACCAGCTTGGCGATCACTTCCCAGAACTCCAACCCCTGCAGTGGCATGCGTAATCCACACTAATCCTTGCTCTCTCCATCGCTGCCTCCTTCCTGCTCCTGCAGTCCCTGTGCATTGCCCTCTCACCACCAGGCGGCCACTGCCAGGCAGTGCCTCCCTTCCCAAGCTCTTAGCAGCAAACCAGTTACCAGGATCCCCCGGGTTGTGTTGCTGTCAGAAGCCAGGGCTGTCAGCTTCCTCAGTGAGCCCCTTGTGGGACTCACACATCCCCCACTCTGAGTGGACCTGCTGCAACAGCACACCAGTCCCCGCACAGGCCAGCTACCCCTCAGAGCCCCTCCTGGTGCCGGGGTGGTGCCTCCTTCATGTCTCCATCTGACCTGTGTCTGTTCACACCCATCGGAGCTCCCTGACACGGTGCTTCTTGACTGGCACCCCTGGCGCCCAGCCACCTGCTTGGAGGGAGAGGAAGTTGAGCGGAGGGCAGCTGCCTCCCTCTCCATCCCTCCCCAGGGGACACCCGAGGAGTGCACTGTTCAGAGCAAGAGCCTGCACAGGCGGCCTAGGCCAGACCGCAGGAAGCCAGGCCAGGAGGAAACACACACAGGCAGGCTGCAGGGTGGTCCCCCCCACCACCACTCTCTGCCCCTCCCATCTGCCTGGGGACAGTTCTCCAGATAAACTGATCTCCCACCCCATGTCCCCATGTTAACAACTCAAAGCCAGAGTCAGAAGCGCCAAGATACCACTTTCCTGCCTCTCTCATTTTTTGCAGGTGAGACGTTGTGGCCAGTTAGGGTCCCCTCCACAGTCATTCTTTAGTTCTGAGCTCAGCTGGGACAAGATCCAAGTTTTTCCAAGGAAACTTAGCAGGAACCTAAGAAGATATTAAATCAAACCTAACTTAATGAAATTAAGAACTAAAGAACCAGTGAGCTCCAGAGTGGGTGTCCTTTCCTAAAGGAATTAAAACCTGGAGACAGAATCATCTGTTTATCAAAGCAAGTCCAACAGGGCTGACTAAGCTCAAGTCCCCCGGCTTCTCACTCCCACTGGAGAGCAAACCAAACAGCTGTCATTATTAGGCCCTGAGGGCTTGTGCACGAACCTCTCCACCGGCCTCTCCCCGGCACGCCCTACTGTGGTCTCCCCAGCACTCCCTGCAGTGGTCTCAACCTCGCACATCCGCCAGCACTGCCAGCCAACAACACCTGCTCCCTCCCGGAAGAGGGTGCCTGACTCTCCTCCCCCACCCACCAGCTCCTCCCAGCAGCCTCTCCAGGGCCAGGGTTTGAGGTTTTCTTCCCCTCTTCCTCGCTTGAATGAGCAACGATGAGAGGCTAACCCTCAGCCCATGGCAAAAATACTGATAAATGTGGGACCAGGTGGGAGGGAGTTCAGTCTTTAAAAGGAACTTTCCAAGCCTCTAAGCTTCTGATCTGCTACAATTCCCCTACAGGAACAGGGCTCAATGCCAAGTGCTTTTCTGCTTTCAGTCATCCAAACCCCACAGCAACCCCCTGAGGAGGCACTCTGATGACCCCACTTAGGGTGACCTGAGTTGTTCAGAAGAGATGGAGTTTGGGCCAAAGAGAGCCTGTGAGGTTCGGAGGGTGCCATGTGATACAGTGGTCAGAGATGAGCAGGATGGGTGTTGGGGGTGTTGGGGTGTATATCAGTGGATTTGCCCTGCTTCGTGGTAGCTGTGTGTTCTTGATCAAGTCACCTGACTTCTCTGGACCTCAATGTTTACATCTGTAAAGGAGACTTGGACTCAGTGGGCCCTAAGCTCCCCTGCTTCTGCGTTCCCTAGTTCTGTTCCCAAGTTATGTGCTCATCCCGCATAGGCAGCCATGGTAGGACCAGGGCTCTCTGGGAGGGTGCCTCCCTTCCCCCCATCACCTGCCCCATCACTACTGGCCAGGGCAGGAGACAGACACAGACTCAGCAGGGAGTGAGGGTTTGCCTGGTCAGAGTTCCAGGCCATCTGCGGGGAGCAGTGGCAAGATGCCAGGAGGACTCGCATCTGAGACCTGAGACGAGAGAGCAGGACTGGGGCCGGGAGTCAAGGAAAGGGGGCATTTCTCCTTAAAGAGTTAAGGGGAAGCTGTGTCCTGCTCCCTGGCCCCTAAATCTTAGGCTTCTGGCAGTTCCTTTCCCTGATGCCAAGCAGGCCCTGAAGGGAAGCCACCTCCCTTGTGAAAGCTGCTTTCCCTAGAAGCTGGTTTCTATGTCCATCCTCTCTGCACCTGAGAAAGAGAAGAGAAAGACAAATCAAACAAACAAGGAAGCAACCATGACTCATTTTTTAAAGAAAAACCAGGATTTGTGACTGTCCAGTCTCTGCATGGTAGAATATGCCTGGTTCAACACCCAAAGGGGCTAAATTGTGCCCAGCCTTGCCTCTCACCCAGGTGTCCCTCCCCTGGCCTTCCCTTCTCTGTCTGCTCACCTCCCCCCACCTCCATGACCACTCCGTGTCTCCCCCAGGTCCGCCACTCTCTCCTCCAGCCCATGTCCCTCTTGAGCTGACCCCTGTTGGACTCTGCCTGTGCCTGCCCAGGCCCCCGAGGCATTTCCCAGGAAGATCCGTGTGCAGTGATCTGGCCCCAACCTGCAGGCGTTGCACCCAAGGGAACTGGGTGAGGCCCCGGGGGAAGGCAGAAGGTCTGGTCTGCCTCATCAGCTGTGCCTGCTTCTCTCCCACAGAGTCGGTGCCGATGGCCGTCATCATCGGGGTGGCCGTAGGAGCCGGGGTGGCCTTCCTCGTCCTCATGGCAACCATCGTGGCCTTCTGCTGTGCCCGCTCCCAGAGAAGTACGGGAGGGAGACCCGGGATCTCAGGGAGGGGGACAGAGAAAAAGGCCAGGCTTAGACTGCCCCGGCGAGCAAGTAAGCAGGAGCGCCATGACAGGGGCCCTACCGTGCTGTGAGCTGCTGGGACAGGGATGGGGTCTCATGCATCTTTCTCTGTGCAATGCTTTACGTGGCGTCCGGCCTGTGGTGGGCACTGAACTGATGTTGATCTGGCCTGAACTGAACTTCATCCAACAGGGCGGCCCGCCAGCGCTTTGGAATGAACACATACAGCCCTCTCCCTCGGGAGCTGTATAAAAAATCCGGGAGGGGGTTGGGGGCGGGGTGGTTTGTTCCTGCCCTCCAGGATCTGCTAGTCTAACCAGAAGAGCACATCACCCACGCAGGGGGGCTGCGGAGGAGGGGGGGTGAGAAAACTCAAAGAATGGCTTTGTGCAGACTTTTAAAGGTCTTTAGTCATTAGCAATAAAATTCTGGTCCTGGGCACAGCTCAAGGCACAGACAAGCATGCAGACGTGTAAAAGGGTGGTAGAGGCGATGGGGTAACAATGGAGACAGCCTCTGGTCCCCACCTCTCCTACCACATGACCTTGGGCCAGCCACCGATGCTCCTGGCCTCAGTTTCCTCATGTGTAATAGGCAGAAGTTGGAATACGTGGCTTTTGTGGCCCCACCCGTGCTAACATTCTCTGAGCGTAAGGCACAAGATGAATAACCAGAGTAAGCCTCCCCTCCATCTCTGGCAGCCTCCGTGTGGCTGTGTGTGCCCCTGATTTTCTCTCTACTCCCAGCTCAGCAGAACTGGCTCTCTTAACTGCCTCACTACCATCACCGATGGTCTCAGGACCTCCCTCATCAGTGGAAATTAGAGGGGGAGCTACTCTAACAAAAATTTCCTAACAGAATTTCCCAACTCTAAATCCGCTGCCTGCTCTGGAAAGCTCCATTGACTTAGGTGCTAGACCACCTTTGACGTGGGACCTCAGGGTCCTTTCTAGCAGTGACATTTGTGATTCTTTCAATGGAGAGGTCAAAGTCTGGGAGGAAAGGTCAGAGCAGACTTCCAGAAGGAGGTGAGAATGTAAAAAGATTAAAAGGACCTAGTTTAATACAGAGGGGAATGGATGAGGACCATTTCTTAAGTCAGAGAAGCAGCAGTGAAAGGCTGAGTGAGGTTCATGCAACAAGGGGCCAACAGACAAGCACTCCAAGGCCCCAACAGCCCACAGCACGACCAGACAGATGTTCTACGGGTGGGGGTGGGGGCATGAAGCTTTTGAGTTCAGGGGTGGAGGGTAAACTATGGTGGTGGTGGCGGTGGCAGGGTGGTGGGATTTTGATGTCGCAAGCCCTCCTGCCTGGGGAGGAGAGCTGAATCTGTTGTCTACACTTTCCTTTTTTATGTCCAGATCTCAAAGGGGTTGTGTCAGCCAAGAATGATATCCGAGTGGAGATTGTCCACAAGGAGCCTGCCTCTGGTCGGGAGACAGAAGAACACCCCACCATCAAGCAGCTGATGGTAAGAACGCTGTCTTACCCTCACCCTCACCAACCCCATGGCCTGAGGGTGCAGGGGCCAGAGGTTCTTGATACCCTAGATGCTCCCTCAAAGCTGAGCATCAGTCACGATGCACCCCACCCCATGGTAGACCAGGCACTTACTTTGAGCCAACAAAGATTTATTGTGAGTTGATAAGATAGCATATGTTGTTCTAGGCTAGCACTCAAAGACACCTGTAGACTCAGAGGCATCTAAAACGTGGCCCCAGCTTTTCAAAACCTGACTATCCAGTAGGGAGAGAAGATATGCTTAAATAGCCATAATACATTGTATGTAATGTAATTCTGGACACATACATACAGTCATTCTATTCAGTATACCTCACCCCCCCCCCAAATGCCACACCCCCCCCCAAAAAATGTCTGCAAGAATGGGTTCCTCTTCCGGAACTGGAGTGTTTACCAGAAGCAAACATGTCACTTCCCCAGCCGCCCAACACCGTTCCTCCTTTTCCTGATGGCCGCAGACAGACCATCATCCACCCAGCTGTCCAAGCAGAAACCTGGGACATTGCACTAGAAACCTCTAGAGCATTCTTGCTGTGTCATGGTTGTAAGATGTTGGAGCCATGACAGCAGAACCTGGGGGTAAAGAGCAGGGCCCTCTCTGTGCCTCAGTCTCCCCATCTGTGAAGCAGGATGAAAGCAGTAATGAACAGGGCTGGGGCAGGGGGAGAAGGGGGTGAAATGGGATGACCCCCAAGAGCCTGAGCTGTGGAACAGAGAAAACTTTTGAGAAATGTTAGCTATTTGTGTTTCTCTCAAGTCACCTATCTCCTTACCTTTCTCCACTAGATGGTGAGCAGCTGCCCTATTCCCCCCATCCCAGGGCTCCAGAGTCTTACCTAGTCTCTGGGAAGCGCTCACCAGTGTTTATGGATTGAACTGACCTTTCCCTCAGCTGCTCTTTTTCTAACCAATTGATTTTTAGGCCCTGCCAATTCCTCTTGAGAAAATTTCTCAAATGTGTGTGCCTGCCTCTACCCCACTGCTGCCTCCTTAGTTGGGGCCTCGTCCTGGCTCGCCTGGACGCTCCTAGCAGCCCACTCAGTGGCCTCACCACTCCAGTCTTTCATCATTTTACTCCAGCCCACTCCATGGGCCCACAGAAAGGGTCCTGCTAAAATGGAAATCAGATCCTGTCACTAGTCTCCTTCAAATCCCTTGGAGAGGAGCCTGTGTCCACTGGATAGTGTCCAGCTGCCCAGCATGTCATCGAGGCCCTTCATTGCCAGGCGGCTGCTGGCCTTTCCAGTTCCATCTTCCTGCCAAATGGATCAGCCCTCCAGACACCCCAAAGAACTTGCAATCGCCCGCCTTGGAGTCTTTCATTCCTCAGGGGTTTTACACAGGTCGTCCCCTCTGTCTGTTGATTTTGTCTGTTGAATTTTACCTTCTCCTATGAGAATTAGCTCAAATGTCACCCCTCCCTAATTTTCCACATTTGTCCTCCCGCTGCTGACAGAACTAGGCAGTTTCTTCTCTCCCCAAACACTGCTTATTGCTCTTATAATGCATTGTTATAATTACAGGTCAGCCTCCCCGATTATCCCAGAGCTCCTCAAGCAAAAGGTCATGCTCCCCAGTCTGTACATGTCTATTTCCTCTGGCCTGACACAGTAGATCACGAATCTTACAAGGGAGGAGGCCGCAGCCAAGACTGAGGGTGAATATCTCTGTAAATGAACTCCCTCAAGTCTGGAAGGATCCTGGCCTGCCCTTCATCCTGAATGGAATCCCAAATTCCCTCTCATTGGGACACTGATTGCCTCAGGCCATCTCCACACGCCCCAATCCAAACTCTCAGGAAAGAGTGGGGTTGCTCTGTAGTGAGAGCAGGGCGGGGGTGGGGGTGTTAATTGGCAGAGGTGTCTACTCAGGGCTCCATAGCTAAGCCCCCACTTGGGGAACCTTCTGTTCCCCCATTTCCTTCACCCCAGAATCCCTCAATGGCCCCTGACATAGAGGAGAAGCAGGTGTAGGGTTAGGGTCTAGTGGGAATGAACTCCAATCCAGAGCATTTACCAGCAAGTAAAAAAGGCAGCATGAGTGAGCCGGTAACAGGATGGAGGCACTCTGGCTGGTTCCATGGGGGCTCGGAAGACACCAGGAAAGCAAGGGAGAAGAAATACCTCAGCTCAGTCAGTGAGTAGGGGGCACCTGGCCCAGAGCACGTCATTTGCAGAAGTGACACATGGGAAGCATCTTATTGCTACAGGATAAGCATCACTATGGTTCTCCTGACTAATTAAAACACCCACTGGGTCAAGTAGCCTTTATTTTTCACCTTAAGTCTAATTATTACTCTAATTTTCAGTAAACTAGAATAATCATTTAGAGCTATGCCTCTTCATTCTTTCGTTCATCCAACATAAACAAAATGTGTGACAGCCCTCCAGCACGCCAGACACTGGAGAGTCAAAGGATTAATAAAATGCAATTAAATATGATTCCATTCCAAAAGCGTCTTGGCCAATGACCACAATATTGTGCCAGATGTGCCAGGGACCCAAAGAGAAACAAAAGCAGTCCCTGCCCGCAGGCTCTTTGGCATCCGTTAAGGAAAATAATTTTGACTACATCTAAGTAGTCACTGCTATGAAGAACAGGTGTGGCCCAGGTCGCCAGTACCTCACAGGTATTATTCATGTGCCTCCTTCTGAAGGCCTTCATTAAGCCTAGCACTGTCTGGTGAACTGCCCTGCTAGACCCCAACCAGTGCCCAGTGATGGAGAGTCTATAATTATTTATCTACAGGCCCCTCTCCCCGAAGAGCACAGATCCATCTTAACCTAAATCAGTGTCTGTCTGGCCCCTAACACGGTGCCCAGCCCAAAATTCAGTAAATGCTCAATGAACTGAATTGAATCAGCCAAGTGAGCTCCCTGGAGGTGGTTTCCTAGCCCAAGTGGAAAAGTGCCATCTCAGCCACCTGGCCCTCACCCACACCCCTGTCCCATCCCTCCTGATCTCTCAGACAAGCGTCTAGGCACAAGGACTCCTGAAACATCCTCCTGACATCTTCGCCTGCCTTCAGTGGCCCAGGCAGCGGAGTTGGGGGAGGAGAGGCATCGGTGGCAAGCTAGTTTCTCTATCCTTTCACTGGGGAAAGTAGCTTATTTAGCGCGCCTCCTGTCCACTGAGCAGCTATTTTGGGGTTATAGATGGACCGGGGTGAATTCCAACAAGACTCGGTGCTGAAGCAGCTGGAGGTCCTCAAAGAAGAGGAGAAGGAATTTCAGAACCTGAAGGTAAGAATAGCTACAGATTACAAGACGCAGCTGTGGACGCTGCCTTCGGTTCTGACAGCCCAAGCCCCTGATCCAGTGGCTGGATAGAAAGGTGAGAGGTCACCTTGGGGACAAGTGCCCTCTCCTTTCTGTGTGACACACCCGTGCCAAAGGCACCTGCTCTTTCCCCAACACAAAGGAGGGAAGGAGAGAAGATGCAGGTTCCACCACCCTCTCCCACAATCTCCTTGCAAATGAATTTAAAAACCAGTGTCCAATGCAAAAAGCAATGAAAGTCTGGTTATCAAATGATTTCTCTTTGCCCTGACATAATAAACATACTCCGTCAGGAGTACCCTGACCCCACTGGGCCAGCCCTCTCTTCTTGGTGTTCCCTCCCAGATAATCCTTCTAGCAATTCCCCATTGCTCCCTTCTTCCTTTGCTCCCCATTCCTTCTTTCAAGGCAGGACTGGCCCAGCCTAGAAAGCACCCCCCCTACCCCACCCCACCCCTTCACCAAGGTCAGCGGAGGTTCCAACCACCCCCTTATGCTGTTCCAACTCTCCCCACCCCAGGACCCCACCAACGGCTACTATAGCGTCAACACCTTCAAAGAACACCACTCGACCCCCACGATCTCGCTGTCCAGTTGTCAGCCCGACCTGCGTCCAGCAGGCAAGCAGCGTGTGCCCACGGGCATGTCCTTCACCAACATCTACAGCACCCTGAGTGGGCAGGGCCGCCTGTACGACTACGGGCAGAGGTTCGTGCTGGGCATGGGCAGCTCGTCCATCGAGCTTTGTGAGCGGGAGTTCCAGAGAGGCTCCCTCAGCGACAGCAGCTCCTTCCTGGACACGCAGTGTGACAGCAGCGTCAGCAGCAGTGGCAAGCAGGACGGCTACGTGCAGTTCGACAAGGCCAGCAAGGCCTCCGCGTCCTCGTCTCACCACTCCCAATCCTCTTCCCAGAACTCCGACCCCAGCCGACCCCTGCAGCGGAGGATGCAGACTCATGTCTGAGGAGCCAACCCGTGGGTGGGGGAGGGCTGGGGAAGAGACCCGGAGGCCAGGACACATTCCGGCTCTCCAGAGACTGGGGGTACTTTGCAGAGGACCCGAGAACCTGCTGCCTGCAGGACAGCCCCCAGTGCCTCTGCTGCCACCTCTTCCGAAGCCCTGAACAAGCACAAATCTGGGTCCCCAACTGCAGTGTGCCAGAGGCGTGCAGGTGGGACAGCAGTCAGAGGATGCAGCTGAGGGTGCTGTGCTGGGTGCCGGATCCTTGGGTCCCCAGCCCTTTCCTGGAGGCCCTGCCGCTACCTGCACCTCCCACAGGCACTAGAGGCAGCTATAACTTTGCTTTAATGAAACTGTCCACTCTTTGGTGTCCCCGGAGCTCTTCCCCTGGTTGCCCATAAGCCCTACCCTGTGCGTGTGCTCCTACAATCCTGGGGACCAGAGGGGCAGGGTGCTTCCCAGCATCCAGCTGCCCCAGAGACCCTGGCGCCCTCTGCTGTTCACAGCCCAGACCCCAGAGGCTGAGAAGCCAGAAGTGGCCCCCCTGGCCAAGGAACGTCGCCCACCCCCATTTGTTTGGTGTTTTGTGTCCATGCTCTTGCAGTTCTGTCCTTGGACTGGATGCCTCTGGATTCTGAATTCTCAGTGGATCTGGCCCAATCGGAGACTGGTGTTGTGACAGGGAGGGGGAGGGGAAGGAGGGAAACCGTGAGCTTGGGAATGCCTGACCCACAAGCCCCTCCCCAGGCTGTGTGATTCAGAGCCTCCCCGCATCCACCACCCCCCTTCGTTTACCCCGCTCCTTGACGGCCCACAGTTAATATAAGGAGTGTGAGAGCTTCTCTGGCTAGGGTTCTTTAAACAGTCATTGGAGAGTGTGTCGGGGGAGGTAGGGTTTGAGGGCACTAGAGATCAGGTCTTTAATGAAGCTCGAGGGGACTAGGTCTGTGCAAGGAGCAATGGTTCTGTCTTCAGCCAGACTCAGGCAAGAGAGAAAGAAAATCTACACCTCACCCCTCCTACTCACCAGGGGAGAATAAATGTTAGGGCCTTTACTCCAACAAATCTGTTCTGTTCTTTTGTTCCTGCAGAGCCACAGGAGGAAAGCAAGTTAGAGTATGTTTGGGAACCCAGAGTTCTTTGGCCCACTTTGATCCAGATTTCCTGGAAAATGAAGGCAGTCGACAGCTCTGGTTGTGGTGGTAATAGGAACTGGAGGCAGCCTCTTTGTGGCTGGGCCCAAACCAGAGAGCTTGCAGCAGCAGGACTTACCCAACCACCTGACTCATGCCAAATGCAGTGCAGGGGCAAAGTGGTCATTCTGAGCACTGGAGGGGGTCATTGTGGGCCTCTCTCTCAGCAATATTCTGCAAAGACAGCCCCCTCCTTTAGGGGTTCAGGGGAGGAGACCCTCTTCTAAGAACCTATGAGCAGCAAGCACCCTAACATGCTAATGTGAGACTCAAATAATTTTCTGAGAATGGCCTTGTTTGGGTGGGAAACTTGATGTAGTGGTGCAGACAGGATGGTACTTGGGTAAACAGAAGCAAGTTTAGGGAGTAGGGTTCAAATGGAAGTTTGGAGAACCAAGTTGCCCCTAAAGTTGGAGGTTTCTCTTCAATTTTAGATCCTTCTTTTCCAAGCTTACCCAGTAGACCTCACTCATCATAGCATCTTCATCACAAAGGTCTGTGCTGTTTTCCATACATTGATTCCTGGGATGGCCCCAGCCCACAGATTATCATACATAACCCCCATAGTACCTCTACCCAGAGGGATTTCTACTTCTACAACATTTCTTACTGCTTCAACATTTCCTATTGCTTCCCCAATCCTCTCGATACCTTCCTTTTCAGCCCCCAAGTCCAAAGGAGTAGAAACTGATAAGAAACATACATGTATATCCCAATCCCACATCTTGCTCCCAAGTACTGTTTTAGCCCCTGTGCACTCCAGGTTAATCTTCACAAACATTCTTCCTTCCTGTATGTTTTCCCTAGGAAACAAGGATAAGATGCAAAATACAGAGGTAGAGTAACAGGATAACATAAGAGAATTTGTCCATTAATTTCTCCTGGTCTTCCCCTCCTTGGAGATGGGTAGGAAATCTACCTCCCACTCTTCAACACAGCCTAGCTTGCCATAGCCTCCTGCCACCCACATACTTATACACCTCTCATTGTAGAGTGGAGGTGCCTTTTCTTTCTTAGAACTCAAGGATGTGACAGAATAACCAGAACTGGGAAGAAAGCTGTAGCACCATAAAACAGAATGAACTCTTCTCCCAGGCACTCCCAGGGTAAGAATGTGGACCATCATGAAAGACAGGCAGAGATCACAGGGGCTGCACGGCCTAGACTCAGCTCCACAGCCCCCTCACCCACCCCAGCCCCCATGCACAAATAGAACAACAAATTGCTGGAGGGAAAGGTCTCAGGTAAGGCCTTGATGAGAGAAGAACACTGAGAAGGAAAATGAGCAAGATCTGGGGCTTCTGGGATGCTAAAGCGTTGAGGAGCCTGGACTGAGTTATGTCACTGCTCAGTTGTTTCCAGCCCTATTCACTTCTCATGAAGGAGTGAGGGCACAGAGTAGCTGGTAAAAGGAGGTGTTTAAAAAAAAAAAGTGTAAGCCAATGTGGAATGTGAAGCACTCCCCTGTGGGAGATTTCAAATGAACTGAAAGGAGCACTTTATATTTGTTCTCTCATTTAGTCTCACAATCATACAAAGTATCAACATTTTAAAGACTGAGGGAATGAGATTTGAGGTAGCCAAAAAACTCGCCCAAGGTCATAGAGCTAAAGAGTGGCAAACAAGAGATTTAAACACACGATTTCCACCACAAGATGTTCCATCCTACGGTACAAACTCAAGGCCACTTTCAGCCTAACGTCGATGAAAATGGTGGCGGGAAAGTGATCTGTAGCACCCGCACTGGGGCAGGCCAAGCAGGAACAAGCCATAGCTCCATTAGGGAGGTTCAATGACAAGTCCCCAGATGACCTGGAAAGCCCACAACTCCCTGGGAAACAAAGCTATTCTGTGTATCAAATCACCCTCACCCCTACCAAGGCCAGGATCCAGTTTTCTGATAGCTTTAAAATTCATTATTGGCTTGGAGTCCCTGGACGGGAGCCCAGTTCCTAATTCTCAGGCTCACTATCTTTCTGGAAAGGCCAGGATTGTTTCCACCACCTCTTCAACTTTCATGGACTAGGAAGTGCTCTCACATGAAGCGCTAGAATGCCACATCAACTCTGTGTGACAAAGCCTAGTGAAACAAGTGCTCTAAAGAAATAGACATCGAAGCTGCCTTTGAGTGGAAAGGAAGAAGGGAAATGAAAACAAATGTGATGCAGTCCTTGGGAGATTTCTCAGAACAGGAGAAAAGTAGCCAATGGGAATTTGTTTCTTACTTCCTGTATGGGAAGGCCTGTGTGCTGCCTATGGGGTTTGCTAGCTTGAAATCAGAATGGAAATCCCAAGACACGAGTTTTGCAAGTTCCTTTAGCTCTTTCCGAGATATCCTGTGTGGGTTGGTTTATGATGGCACCGGAAAAAAAAAGACCAAGGGGCATTCTGCAATTAGTCTCCTCTCTAGGAAGTTTCCCTATTACATAAACTCTTTATTAAAATAAAAGTATAAACATTTAAATAAAAGCTATCTTAATTTGCACATAGATTTTTATTTAAATTATCAGTGGTGTGCCTATTTAAAGAAGCATAACCTAATGACATCTCAACTTAATCTTGAATTTCACCTTCCCTTTTAAAAAGGTTTTTTATTTTTTTTAGATTTTATTTGTTTATTTATACAAGCTCTGGGTACAGTCAGAAGCGCGGGAGGGTGAGAGAATTCACCAGAGCCAGAACGGGGAGCAGAACAGGCAGAAGGACAGAAGTACACTGCTGAGGGGAGCAGCGGGTGGCAGGAGAGGTCTGCGTGCCATGTGGGACCCTCCCTGGCGGCTGGGGATGGAGCCGGAGCTGCAGAGGCTGCGGGCAGCTTCGCAACCCAGCACTCAACCGCTGCGCCACCAGGGGAGGCCCCTTAAAAAGGTTTTTTAAAAGCCTCTTATCTAGATTTTAGGTGGTTGTTGTGTGTGTGTGTGTGTTTTTAGGAGATTTAACCAGATACTAGCCATTTGCAGCTTTAGCACAAAACAACCACAATCTTTGAGAATCACTGATGAAGTGTTCTCACTCTGAAAGTTACTTCTCATTTCCAGGAAAGCTCCAATCATCTTTTCCCCAACCCTCTATGTTTCAATCTTTTTTTTTTTAAGATTTATTTATTTTATACAAGAACCGGGGTACAGGCCAGATGTGCAGGAGGGGAATTCACCAGAGACCCAGAGGGGAACAGAACAGGCAGACTGACGAAATACACTGCTGAGGGGAGCAGCGGGCGAGACAGGAGAGGTCTGCCACCATGTGGGACCCTCACTGGCCGGCCGGGATCGAACTCACGCTGCAGAGGCTGCGGACAGCTTCACAGTGTGGCGCTCAACCGCCTGCGCCACCAGGGAGGCCCTATGTTTCCATTTCTTAACTAGGTCATAAACTGGGAAAAAATGAGAAAATTTCAAGCTACTCTTCTAAAAATAAGGAATTGTTTTCCTGGTGAATATATATATATATATATATATTTTTTTTTTTTTTTTTTTTTGTGGGGAGAGAAGGACCATCCATTCTTCCCTTTCTAATTGCTGTTCTTCCCTGGTCCAGTTCCTTTCCTTTGGGCTGGGCCTTTCATTACTGAAAGTTCTGTAGTTTTTGTCCTACTACAGCCCTCATCTGTAAAAGTCACTGAATTGTGTAGACATCCCTGGTGCCCAGAACTGCTTGCCCCTCCCTGTTCCCAGAGCTCTCTCGGGAGGGTCTCCTCAACCCACCCACTCCGCACTGAGAATCCTCAGCCCCTGGCTGAAAACACCCCTTGAGCTCACTTATCAGGGAGCTCTGTGACATGCAAAGACATCTCCTCCTACTGCTTCTTCACCCATGGTGCCTGGAAATATCATGGAATGCTGTGAGAACATTCAATTCATGCTGTCTAACTTTTCTTTGTGGTGGTGAATGTTTACAGAGAAGGTAAGTGAAGCCTCAGGAATCAGGTCTTCTATGGGAGAACGTGGGAGCTTTTACAGGGAGCTTTTCTGACATCTAGGAAAAGTGCTACTTGGGATAGGGGCTGACTGTGGGGATTTATCCCCTGAAGGTCACTCCCAATTAGGCAAAGACAAGGTTAAGTGGACTCAGATAAAGATACTACCTTCACCACCCTTGAAAAGAAATGTGAGCCAGGCCCTACTGCCCAAGCACTAGAGTGTATCTGTGACACTAATGGGCAGTACCCTTGGGAGAAACAATGAATGAAGAAGATAAAGTGACTTAGAGATTCAGGACTTCCAAAGCAACATTTTCTGATAAGAACCTCCTATCTGACTTTTAAGGTTACTCTCGCGTTCCTGCCATGCAGGGCTACATAGCTGAAACAGAAACCTACAGAGGATAAGCAGAGGATCTCCTTACCAGACCCTAATGTGCTCTGATTTTTTTTTTTTCCTCTAGAGAGAAACGGTTTTCTAAGCAAGTAAAGACAACTCTTCAAGTGTAGGTGATGTATGTAAATAGTGTTTTAGGAAGCCTCAGAATAATGGATGGTGCTGGAATAGCTTAGTTCAGAAATTCCGACTTCGATCCCCTGGGGTGATTTCAACATCCAGCCTTCTCTCATTCCCTCCGCCTAACTCCACCCTCCCAGTCTTGCAAGATTCTTGACAGGAAGCCTTGCCTCTTTTGAGGGGGTGGAGTACTTGAAATTATTGGTCTTCCCTGGGAACCTGAAATCTGCACAAATCCTCTGTGCTTACCCTCTTCAACAGGGCTACAATGTCTTCCCACGTGTTTCCTACTCTCTGCAGTCCCTTACATGAAGAAATCAAGTCTTCAATACATCTAGTAAATCTGACATTTAGTAAGTCTCAAGCTTCCTCTCCCCACCTTATTTCTTGGGTTCAGGCCCCCAAAGATGGAGAGCTAAACTAGAGAAGAAAGTGGACAGGAAAACTGGCTATAACACAGAAACAAACACACAAATATCTCTCCCTCAACTTTTAAGTTAGAAAGATTTTCTGTTTCAGGATCATGGGAATATTCAAAATTGACATTGTTTTTCAAAGATGCAATTAGAGCGAGGTTAAACATTTAAAGGAGCAGTCACCCACACTGCGGTTTTACTTCTCAACCTCAGTTTAAGAACCTATTGTGGTATGCTGCATGCCATCAAGGTGGTTAATCCCCCCTCACCACCACACCTCCGCCCCAACAATTGCTTTTTTAAAAAAATCCCTCAAGGTGTCTGACTTCAGCTTGGAAACCACTGCCAGAGAGCAGCTGGAACTCACTGTTCATTGTCTGATTATGCAAAGCCTGCATTTGAGTCATTTCACCCAAGTCTTACCTTCCCCTACTTAGAATGTGGGGGATTGGAAGACAAAGACTTTCCTGTAACCAGCAGGATTGCACAGTTCTGGGACAAATATTTGGCCCTCCAAGACGTATCTCACCTGTTTCATTTGCTCTCCAGTATTTTCATTTCATTTATGTTCATTACAATCTAAAAACTGTTTTTACAACCATATTCCCATTAGACCTTAAAATCTCATGTGAGATAGGCATGCATAATCACTGCTTTGCAGATGGAGAAGCAGAGGTTTATTTGGTCAATTAAATGACAGCGCAGGAAAGAGAACCCGGGATCCCACCGACCATATTTTGTGTGCACTGCACCTTGCTGCCTCAAAGACAGAATTGTTTCCAGGCCTAACTGTCCGTGGCTAGACAGTCTCTGGGGGGAAGCAATTGGATGTACTTATGTCCTCGGAAAGTGTAAATAAAAACCCAAAAGTGTGCAAAATTAAAGCACACCATTTATGTGAACATAGAATATCATTTAAATGTGTTCCTGGGCCAGATAAAAGGACGACCTGTCTTGCCCAGCTAGGTGGTCCAGCTGGGAGTCCCTTCACTACTCCGAGCCTCAGTTTTCCCTCTGTGGAGGAGGGCTGGACTTGTAGAGTCTAAACTGGATACACCAGATCCGTTTCATCGCGGCCTCTGCAGTGAGTCTAATTTCCATCACATGAGGGAAGCCTAGTTTTGTAAAACGCTGGACGAGAAACTGCTCGGCACGCAGACGCGGATACAGGGGCGCACACCCCACAGCCTGTCCCCACCTTCCTATGCAGCTGTTACTAGGCCCTGAGCCGGTTGCCAGGGAGGCGCCGGCCTCGGATGAGGCGGGGCGCCAGGGTCAGCCTCCCCCAGCGGCCGAGAGGCCTCAGGGCGGACTGCGGGAGGTCGGCCGCTTAGCCTCAGCAGTCGCGGCCCGGTTCCCACAGCAGCCAGGGAGAGCCAGGCGCCCGCACGGACCACGCACGCGCGGCCCCCCCTCCGCCTAAGCAAGGAGGAGCGAGGCGGGGCGAACTGAGCGCGGCTAAAGCAGTGCTGGAGCCTAGTAGACAAGACTCAAGGGCACCCAGGGTTAGAATGAGCTTTGCTCTCAGACCAGAGAGTTGAGAGGCCCGTGAGATCATCCTGGAGTCTAGACTATTAAAGCAGTGGTTCTGAGGGCTTGTCAAAATTCCAGATTCCTGGACCCCAGGCCCAAGGTCCTGGGCAAGACCCCAGAATCTGCATCTGAAGCCACCTACTGATAATTTTGCTTTAAAGGATCCTCATTGGCTGGACCCGCCCTCGTTTCAAGGAATGCAGCATACGCTTGGAGAAATGATTGGCCTAAGGTCGTACAGAATTAAGTGATAGAACCCAGATTTGCACCCAAGTGCTTTCTCCTTCCCCTCCCTGCCTCATTTTCAAGGCATGGTTTAATCAGCACCAGGCAGGCTGGCAGGCAGTCATTCACACTGGCTGGAGTAATGAAGAATGAAAGTCCCTCTCTCACAGCACCGAAGAATCCATCCAACAACTTTACAACTCCACTCCCAGCCTGCCCCTTGCCAACACTGCTGCAATGTAGAGGAGCCCAGCGCCCTGGAGAAAGCTAAACACCCCCACCTGGGAACAGTGGACAGTTTGGGTGCATCCACCCCTCTCCACACTCTTATCTGTGATCTGAGGAGAATGAAAAATTCTCCTGTCTATATGCATGTGTGTGCGAGGGTGTGGTTTTTGTTGTTTTTTTTTTTATTTAGGGGTGGGGGCGGTGGCATGGGGGGTTATTTCTGACCTATCCATGTGTGTTAGATTCTGGCTCAAGTTTAGACACATTCAATAACAGGCAAATGGCTCCAGTCCAGGGCAGCTGGATCATAGGTGCTGACAGCCACTTTCTGTGACCCTGAATAAAGAAATGGGCACTCCCTTGCACACCCTCCTGAGAAGCAGTTGGGGAAGTATCAGGAATAAGCAGAATTGACATTTCCGCCCCCTCCCCACACACACACCCAACCAGCACTCAGACCCCTGTTAATGTCAGCAAGTCCCCTCCCTACTCCCCACCCCTAGTTAAGAAAGTTTGACGATGTGGAGGGGAAGGGCTTGGGGCTGCAGATGCTAGGACCCTGTCGCTTTCAGAATCCCCTTCTCCAGGCCATTCCTTTGCCAGCACTGACCCTCAGGACCAGTTTATGCAGTTTATGGGATACAGCTGGGTGTTCTCAAGGCCACGCTAACACTGTCAAGTAGCGTGTCATCTTCCTCTGTTCCCCAAGTCTCTGCCCCTTTTCAGTCCTGTCCCCAGTCAGTCTATCTCAAAGCCTCAAGGCTGCAACTCTTTCCGAGAAAGCCAGGAACACAGCTGCGCATCCCATTCCCTATGGGGGAGTTCCAGCTCTCCCTCCTGGCTCCAGATGTAAAGGAACAGCTGTAGGAGTGGCAGAAAGCCCAGTTGGCAGCTAAGCAGAGCCTGGGAAGAAGAAGAACAAAGCAGGGCGAGACAGGCAAAAGGCAGGGCCATCACAGTTCTAGAGACCTGGGAAAAACAACATTCTGCCCCCTAGCCCAGTGACTGGCTGACAAGACTTGCCAAATCCTTCAGACGCTGCCCGAGTCCTGCCCATCCCAATCCTGGCAGCCTGGGCCACTGGCAAGACCTTCTATAAACTCCATTTTATGAGTCCCACTTAATCTGAGAAAGGAAACTTGGCTTCCTTTGTCTGACTCCATCCCTGTCCTCAAACACACAGTGCCCAGCACGAGATTTTAAAAACCCAAGGCTGGTGCAGAAGGGAGTAGGAGAGGGTTCTGTCACTCCCATCTGGTGGCCTCCTGCCTGTCCCCACTCCGGGGAGTCAACCAGGATATAGGATACCAGGGTATCCAGCAGACAGGGCTATTTGGGCCCCTTTGTTGGCCTGCTACCCAGGGTAACAACGCTTGACTTGGCATTGAGCACTGCACTCAATATTTCCTGAATGATCATGACCCACTGTGCCCAAGTCATCGCTGGCCTTCAATAGGCCTGTCTACCACCAGAAAAGGGGAATCACCGCCATGTCCCACAACCCCACCATGTCCTCCCCAAAGTGAAAGTACCCGGGATATCACAACTACTTCCATTTTAGGAAAAATAGTTTAATCGTAAGTTTGTAATCTTTTATCTAGATGAGATCCATCTCTGCATGGAACCTGCATACCAATGCTCTTCCCATGCCCGCTGGGAGATAGCAGCCCCTCTTGGAGGGCACCCGCTCACTCCAGAAGCCCCCACCCTCTTGGGAGGCTCTGCTCTGGGTCCAGGCCTTCATGGGCCCCAGAGTTCTGAGTATTTATAAAAAGCGGGCAGAACACTGTAGTATGCCCCCTATCCTGGATGCCATGGGGCCAGCCCACAGCCCTTCCTTACCCTTTAATTAAATAGCCCATTAAATAATCTCCCAGCGCTGGCAGAGAGGCGAGGCCACAGCAACAAGTCCTGTGCCTTGACTGTGCTCCCTCAACTCCAAGGCCTATGTCCTGACTGCATCTGGGCCCTGAAGAGCAGCCAGGGACATGGCCTTATCTCATACATGGCTAGTCCCGGGACTCCCTCCCCACACAGGAGACGGTGAGTCCAAATGGGTCATAAGTGACACCAGGCACCCCCACAGCCATGGATGGGGGGGCACTCAGGCAGCAGAGTGGGCAGACTGATCGAAAAGTGAGTGCCCATGTCAGAAATAAGTGAGGTTCTTCACTGCTCCAATTTCCAGCATCCGCTTGATAGCCAGGGCCTCCTGGGAGACATTGTGGCCTGACCCCTGTGGAGACAGTGAGGAAGCAAACTGAGGGCTGGTCAGGGACCGCCCCACCGCTCCACCTTTGGAAGTACCTCCCCAGCCCGGGAGCCCAGATGTCTCAGTTCCAGATCTGACTCTCTGAGTGACGGCATCACGAGTCACCTCCTGGCACCTCTCTCACACACTCAGTGTCCCCAGGCTGGCCCGCCCCCCTAAGCTGACAAGCGGGGGCCACTTACTGCCATGGACTTGAGCGTGATCTGCTCATAGTAGTGAATGGTCTGCTTCTTGTTGAAGGCGTCTGGGTAGCCAAAGCCAGCAATGTGCACCAGGTCGCAGAGGTGCAGGGCCAGGGTGATGGCCAGCAGGCCTGTGGTGGGCTTCTGAGGGACAAGGGATGAGGAAGGTATTAGAGGGAGCCCTGCTCCTTTTGCCACCCTCTAGGCTGGGGCTCTGCAGCAGAACTCTCTGTTCCCATGAGCTCTTCGTCATTGGTGCTGCCCACAACTGCAGCCACAGCCACAGCCCCATGCAGCTCCTGAGCATGTGAGTGGAGCTAGCACAGCCGAGCAACTGAATTCTCATTTCATTGCATTTTATTTGAATGAATTACATTTTAAATTTAAATAGCCACAAGTGGCTGGTGTTTCCCATTTGTGATAGGTAATATAGCGCAACACGTCCAGGGGAAGAGATAGGTTTGGGCCTCCAGCAATGATGGTGATGATGGGAATCAGGATCATGAAGATGATACTGGTTACTTTTAAGCACTTACTATGTGCCAGACACTATGTCAAGTATTTTACCCAGGATAATATGTGATCTCATGTGGTCTTTGCAAAAACACTTTCAGGGAGAGACTGTCAGGAGCCCCATTTTACAGATGAGAACACTGAGGCTTGCAACTGGGAAGTAGCTTGCTCAAGCCATAGAAAGGCTCTGCTCACTTCCTTGGAGGACCTCACCTGTTTCAGAATGCCTGGGGCTTGAATGCTGCATGTTGCATTCAATGCTGCATGTTGCATTATGGCCTCTCCCCTCATAAACTGGGGCAGCAGCAGTTTTTCCTACCCACCTCATGGGCTGCTATGAGGACCTCGGTTCATCCCTCATTCACCCCCAGGGATGGGCCATGTGATATCTGAACCTCCCAAATCTCACCCTCCTCTGCTCCATAGCTGCTCCCAGACCCCTTGGGCACCCACATCCCGGACCTCATTAGGCTTCCGACTGCCAGGTTTTTCCCAGCACGGCTTTCTGACCTCCCTATCATTTCATCTGTCACTTCCTGCCTGCTTCACCCATTGCTTTTACCACCACTGTCATACCTTGTCCAGGTCAGACCACTGCTAAGCCATATTTCCACTGCCTTCTAGTCACTTCTGCCTGGACACGTGCTCCATAAACTTGCCAAACTCTCTCCTCCCTTTGTACTTCCCATATTAGTTAAACATGGCACCACCCACCTAGTCATCTAAGTTGGGAACCCAAGTCATCACAAATCCCTCAATTTCACTTGTAAGAGAAATTCAGTGGCAGGAGAGGTCTGAGATGACCCCAGTGCCCTCAAGTGGGCCTGCACACTATGCTGAGCTACATCCCATCACATGACCTTGCTCTGTGTGACCCAGATGACCCTAAATTAGGGAGATAATCCCGGCGGGCTTCACCTAATTACATGGATGTTAACATCTGGGCCTAGAGATCAGCAAGGAGGAAGCCTGAGAAGTGATGCCCCTGCGTTTCTGGGCAGAAGGAGGGGCCGAATGGCAAGAGATGTGAGTAGCCTCTAAGCGCTGAGTGAACCCCAGCCTTCCCCCCACCTCACCTCCAGGTTGAAAGCCAGCGAGAAAAATAGAACTTCAGTCCCACAACCACAGGAAACTGAATTCTTCTAAGAAGGAGCATCCTGGAAGTAAATTCCCCCCTAAGCCTCCAGGCAAGAGCCTAATCCAAGACTGACCAAAATTTCAGCCTTGCAGACCCACAGCAAAGAGCACACCCACCCATGCTGGACTTCTGACCCACAGAACCATGAGCCAGTAAGCTGTGGTGCTGTAAGCCATTAAAATAATGGCAATTTGTTAGGCAAAATAGGAAACCAGCACAGCCAGCACATCTGTCCACGCTTTCCTTTGCACTTCCTGCCACCAGGCACTCACATCTGGCCCCCCTCTCTGGCCTTTACCCTCGGCCTCAAACCCCATTGGGGGCATAAATGCCTTCTCCCTGCCCCTCAACTCCACTTACACAGAACTCTGTACCAGAAGCAGCTGTCTGGTCTTGCCAAATGAAATATCTTTCCCCTGATCCTCAAGGCCTAACTCCAGTACCACCTCCTCCAGGGAGGACTCTCAGACTGCCCCAAGCAGAAAGCCACTCCTCCTCTGAGATCCCAAGTACTTGAACAACTCTCTACTGGGGCAGCAGGTCACTCCTGCTGCAACCTGTATCTTTATTCTGTGAGGCCGAGTTTCCTCTTCTTCCCAAGTATGCAAGCGTGGGGCCTGGGACTGAGCAGTCAGAAAAGCAAGCATTCAACACATGAAGGTGAATCATAGTGGATACTAAGTAAAGAATGAAATTATTTATTCAAAATTTGGCAACTCTTTCTGAGCATCCACCATGTACCGATCTCCAGGTCCAGGTCAGGCGTGCCTAACTACCTTTTTCAATGCTATAATAGCCATACTATGTTCTCCACCATTCCAGATCAGAGTCAAGAGCCGAGTCCAAGCTGAGTTCTACCTGTGTGTGCCAGATGTCTCTGTGCACTACTCACACAGCATCCAAAGGGCTCAAAACTCACATGGAAGCACTTGGGAAGCTTAAGAGTGTGTTAGAGCCCACCAGCCAAAAACCACCAGGGCCCTGTGAGCTGAAAGCAAACCCCAAGTTGCAAACCTGTACCACGACTCCCCAAATGGACACACCTGCCAAAACCATAACATGCTACACAAACTAAGCTCAAACCATCTTAACTCACCCAGACCAGTGTGTTCAAAGAGAAGATCATAGGCACAGCAAGCTAACAGTCACTGTAAGGTGTACAGTTGTTCTAAAGATAAGGCCACTGACTGTGCTAGCAAGCCCCCAGCTTCCAAAGTCTCACCAACCAACAGCATCCTCTAACTCCAGCCCTCAGGCCCTATAAATGCCCTTCTCTGACTCTTGGCTTTGGAGTCAACCACTGCCACCTTTAGAATTCTGATTGCAGGCCTTGCTTGCAGGTTGTGGTCATCAGGATTTCACAGGTGCTATTCAAATGCAAGCTGCAATCTGTTATTATTTTTCCTTGGGGTCCCCCTCAGCTTTGTAGAACTCTAGAAATGCCCCATTTACTTCCCACCCAGGTACCCAGCCCACTAGCTGCCCTGGGGCAGCCCAATATCACCTGCTTAATCTTGCGTGGCTGTTGCATTGGCAGGTTCAGCAGTTTATCTGCTGCAATCTCCATGAAGAAGGGATTGAGAATCCGAATCTGTTTGGGGTTGGCATCCCAGATGAGTGGAGGCTGTTTCCAGAAGCCCTTTCGCACCTAAAGGCACGGAATGGGAAGAGAGAGGTAGGAGTGATGAAAATCTGTTTCTGAAATCCAATCTGGTGGTCTCAGCCAAGGGTTGGGGTCCACGTGATGGCAGAGGCCCTCACGAATGCAGGTTAAGAAGGGGGGAGGCAAAGTCCACAGACAGGAGGAGACCAGAGGAAAGGCACAGGGAGAGGATGGGGGCACCCCTCTGCCCAGTGAAATAAGTAACATGTAGCACATGGGGCCAACCGCTGCCACTTAAGGGATATCCAAGCAGGTAGAGAATTTTGGGGTTACCTAAACACTTGTTAAAAATGCCAAACTGGAAAGTTCAGCATTCTGCTGGATGACCAAGAGACATAGAAGACTTTCTGGGAATTGCCTGGAAGGGCACAGATCTCGATTGTTCCAACCCAAACCCCCCACTGCCCCCCCAACACACACATACACACACACACACACCCTTCCTTGGCCTGGAGATGACTGCTGATTAGTTCCCCCGCTTCCAGGACTCTCACTGGCAAACACACTTTCTGGTAACTTTCCTGTCCCTGGCAGCCCTCAAGGTTGGGGTGCCCTTGGTGCCTGCTGTTTGACTCCTACAGGCTGCTATGCCCTGCAGAAGCCCTCAGAACACCTGTCCACACACACCCTCCTTTGGGATTATAGGCCGAGTCCCCGCTCCTGCCCAGTCTCCCTACTTACCCGCTTCTTATCACTCAGGATGGTCTCAATCCAGTGGAAGTCCATCCCCTTAAAAGCCACCAGGACGAGGAGGGTGTCGGGGTTGTTCTGTTCTTTGGGGTCGAAGTGAGCAGATTCAGGGTAGAAGAGACGCATGGTGGTCTTGGAGCCCACGTCACCCTCGTAGCCAGCCACTGGGGCATTGTTCAGCCTGGTGGGGAGAGGCCCATCACCCAGAGCCCCACCGGGGCTGTCTACAGTTGCTCCCAAACAGAAGGGGGAAGGGACGGCCATACAGACCTGATGACCACATCATATTTGTTGATGGCCTCTCCCAGCGAGCTGTTGCGCAGCCGGTGCCCGTTACCCACCACCACACAGCGGCGGCACTTGAGTCTGCCACAGGAAAGGGCTGATCAGAATCCGAAGTAACCCCTGCCCCGCTGAACTCTCCTGCCTGGGCCTGGCTCACAGTCAGTCCCTCCCAGGCCCCTCAATCCTTGGTTCCCATGGACGAGGCTTCTCCAGAGAGCCCAGCTTTTGACCACAGTGAATCTGCAGCCCTGGGGTGTCAAGGCAGAGGAAACTGAGCAGAGCACAGAAGACAGCAGAAGAGGGATGACACATGGGGAGGACAGATAAGAAACCCCATTTCAGAGTCCCCCGCCTGCTGCTCTGGCCTGTTGCCCCAGCGAAATCCTCAGAGCCTCTGCCTGCTATGGACACAGATGTCCAGGCGTCAGTGCCGTGGGGATGAGTGTACCTGTGCCCCTAGAGACAGGCAGGCTGGGAGGAAGGGTCAACCTGGCCACAGAGAAACAGAGACAGGAAGGCTCACTGGGAGGTACTAGACCATGCTGCACTGGGGTGGGAAGGAGAAGGCAGAGTAGGAGGGTTGTCTCCTCACCTCTGGATGCTCTCGGGAATGGAGTAGCTGGTAATGGCCAGGACCCGGAGGAGCAGGTCTTCTACAAAAAGAATCAGGTTGGAAAGAGCTATGACAACAGCAAGCATCCCAAAGGCGGCCAACTCAGCCTCTGCTGCTTCGAGAGCCTGGCTGCCTTCTCCTCCCCTGACCCCAGTATCTGAGCAGGACTCAGAACTTGGGCACCCAGACCACAGAGGACCAAGAACCGGAGGCAGTGTGGCCAAGGAGAGTCCACCATTCCTACACTGCCAGGTGGGTACCTACCACTCCCTTTGGTCCCATAGGGCAGCTCGTAGGCTGAGGGTGTCTTGACCCAGAAATAGTCCTTGAGCTGCAGGAAGATGGGCTGATCTCGTGAGAAACTACACAGAGAGGAAAGCAGGGTGGGGATGAGAAAGGGATTAATCTCGATGCTGGACTCCAAGTCAGGCCCTGACTAATACAGAGACATGTCCAAGGGCCGCTCCCCCACCCCTCACTGGCCTCGGCAAACCCCTTTCCACAAACACAGCCACCCCACCCCCAGTCTATGAACCTCTCAATACTGGCTCACCCCTTGCCCTGTCCCGGCCCCTCAGACCCAGGTTCTTACTTGCCAAAGAGCTTAGAGACCTTCCTCTCCGCCTCCCCCTGCAGGCACGGCTCCTTCTTCTCTGGGATGGGAAAATAAAAACTGGAGACAGAAAAGGAGAGGAGGCAGGAGCTCCAGTCAGACCTCACCGGCCCAGGGCCAGCATCCCAGGCAGCCTCCTCTCTCCCGCGGTGCACAGGTCCCCAGGGCCCAGAGAACAGCTCACAGGATGAGGTCATCTCAGCCCAAGCTCCACTTTGAAGTCAGATCACTGTGGATCCAGTTCTTCCTTCTCCCAAATCCTGGGTGAGAGCCTAGGGGAGTCATCCCAGACCCTACCCCCCAAGCCCACCACCCACCTTCTAGGAAGGAATCAGAGGCCAAAGGGGGAGGTCACGCACTGTGCCCTGTCCTGCCCCACGAGGCCCCCTCGCCCACGACCCTCCACTAGAGCCCCGTGGCTGAGAAGGACGCATGGAAGGACATGGAAGCTGGACTCACAGCTCAATGTACCTGTCTTCTCGGGAAATGGAATACCACACCATGACGACCAGGACCAGAGCCAGCATGGCCAGGAGCTTCCAGCCTGCAGGGCACATGCACAGAGGAGCTGGAGGCAGAAACAGGCAGATCCAGCCCCGGTCCACCTTCTCACCTGCCCCACTTTGGACCCCTGCCACCCCCAACGCAAGCCACCCAGTCCCTGGCCCTCACCTGGCCCCAGCCTTCCAGCAGGGCTGAACATTTCCACTGTCCTTCAGAATGAAGTGAGGGGCCCCGGCGCCCTGTATGTCCCTCTACAACCCACAGAGGTCTCAGGAGGCCGCTGAAGACCACTTCTGGGGGTCGTATCCTTCAGGGTGGGGGAGCACTTGGAAACACTCACGGGACTTGCTGACCATGTTTCTCAGCAGGTAGCAGGGCTCCTGGGGAGAGCTGTCATCCCGGCTGCCTCGGGCCACCTAGGAGGTAGGAGTCACAGGTATGTGGTTGGCAGCACGAGCACTCTACATAGACTGCCGCAGGACACACCCACGGCGGCCTCTGTCCTTGTCCAGAAAGCGTGACGCTGTTCCAGAACAGCCATCCAGAGAGTGGCCCTTCTCACCCCAAATAGTCCCCTTGCCCCTCAAAGGCAGTCTGGGAGGTCCCAAGAGCTCCCATGCCACAGAAAGAGAAACCCAGAATTAGGTCCCCTGGCAGACCAGCTGGCCCTAGGCCCCCTTCTGTGGTTCCTCTCCCTGTCTGCTTCCTCATTTTGACCTGGAAAGGGCCAGTTCCAGGGGACAGATGGGGTCTCCACCCACTTCTCACAGTGAGTTCGGTTAACTGTCCAGGGTGTGATTCAGATTTTAAGCAATTGACATTTACCTCTTCTCCGCCTAGCTCTCCATCACCATCTGCTCCAGACAAACAGGTCTGCTCAGGCAGACACTGGGGTGAGAGCCAGGTTACAGGAAGGTCCAGAAAAGTCCCCTCTAACCCTTCCCAAGTCTGATTAAATGCAGACAGTGTCCCAGCCCTCACCACCCAGGCGCACAGGGCAACTGGGTGCAGACAAGGCATTTGAACGGGAAGCACAGGGAGCAAGAATTGCCTGTCTTGAGACAGGAAACACTCTCAGGTGAGGGCAAAGGGCAGGTGGCACAGAAAGGGTACAGGGCCTGCCTTGTGGTGCAAGGGGTTAAGCACAGCACTGTGAAGCTATCCACAGCCTCTGCAGCATGAGTTCGATTCCCAGCTAGCCAGGGAGCTACACACAGCAGACCTCTCCTGCCGCGCCCACTGCTCCCCTCAGCAATGTATTTCGTCAGTCTGCATGTTGTGTTTCCCGCTCTGGCTCTGGTGAATTCTATCTCACCCTCCTGCGCTTCTGACTGTACCCAGTGCTTGTGTAAATAAATAGATAAATCTTAAAAAAAAAAGTTATAAATGTGTAATCACAAGACCCCAGTAAAAGTCTAGTAATTCTCGACCATTTACCAGAAGTGACACGCCTCACCTCCCTGTGACAGAACAGAAATCCAGCACAATGGCTGTGGCCGCCTACTTCTGCCATGCATTATTTCTGAAAAATAGCTATGCACATTGCAGAACAAAGTGACTCAAACCCTATTAGTTTGAGACCAACCCCATTAATTTATCTCATAGATGATGCAGTTACCACTAGTTGAAAAACTTCTCCTATCTTATCTAACAGGAGGCTAGGGTCCTGGTGGTTTTTGTTAAAAAATTGGCCAAATCTTAATACCCCACCTGTAAATTCCCACCCCTTTTGTTAAGCAATAGTTGTCAAAACCCATCTGCAATCCCATCTGTGAGCCCTGGCCCCTCAACTAAGCAAGTATATCAGCAGCCTGAAGACCCAAAGGGAGATTCTCCTCTGAATCTGCCCACCCTCACTCTTGAGTGTGTACTTTTGAGCCCTAGGGCAAGTTAGGGTTAATTAGGCAGCTTCAGGGACAGTGCAGGCTGGGGATTGGGGAGAGTTAAAGAGGCTTCTGAGATCAGGGAAACAAAAGGAATAAGGGAAGCTCCAGAGATAAGGGCAACAACTACCAAAGGGGGTTAATCAAACACCCCAGGACCAGAGGCAGGGGAAGCCAGAAAAGGGCGATAAAGAAAAACAAGGGCTGGGACACTGACACTAAGCTCTGGGCACAGAGACATTAGGTCAGTGAGTGAGACCACCAAGATCTAGCGAACCGCAGAGAGACTGGTGGAACTTTAGAATAATGAGGGAAAGAAGGTGTATATTCCCTGAGACACGACTCCACTTTGGCTTCCTTGCCCCTCCCTGGCCTGGTTCCACCAGCCTGGTTGTCCCACTTTATTTCTGTTCCTTTTCTCCTTAATAAACATCTTTCTCTAAGCAAATCTGCCTCTTTTTTTTGCTTGCCTGAGCATCAGCAAAGATCCTGGCGGCTTCGTGAGACACCAACCATGGGGATCTAGTGGCTGGGACTCAGAGCTGCACCTGCTGCCTAGGATCTGTTCCTGGCTGGGAGACTAGACCTGAAAACCTACGGTATCACTCTCACCTACAATAAAGCTTCATCTCTAACTCACCTATACGGACAACTGCGTGAAATCTTTCCTGCATAGAAGTCAAGAACCTGGGGTTCCTTAGCAGCCTTGGGCCTCTTCACCTACACACAATTGCCACTTAATCTTTTTGTCTTCTTCGTGGCACTTTTTCTTATCTGTATGTAGTTCAGTTACTTTATTTGCTTGCTTTCCAACTGTCTCCTTCACTGGAATAGAAGCCCTGCAGGGGGTGGAGGGGGGTTTACGAATCTATCAAATCCCCAGAATCTATCAAGTCCCCAGGTCTACCCACAGCATCTAGCATGCTGCCAGCCACAGGTAATGAATAACATGTCAGGTGACCTTGGGTGAGTCACTCCTCTCTGACCCCCAATTCCATTGGCTGTAAAATTGGGAGGTTAGTCCCATAGACTCTTGTGACTCAAAATACATTTATCAGGTGAGCAGCAGGGACATCACTAAGACCTTATTAGAAATGCATAATCTCAGGCACCCTCCAGACCCACAAAATCAGAATCTGCACTTGAGTAAGATTCCCCTGGTGAATCCTAAGCACATTCAAGTTTGAGAAGCAGTGGCCAAGATGGATTAGCCAAATAGGATAAACACCTGGAATAAATATGCAAATTTATATATTTATTATATAATATTTAATATATATTATATACATTTAATATACATATAATAAATTAATATATATATATAAATAAATCTGGATCCCATACCTAGGAAGCCTGACTTGGCCTAGCCCAGCACTGGAAATTATTCAAGCACCCAGGCTTGCGCAGCCTAGGTTAGAACCTAGATAATGGTCTAGAAAACGGCTCATGGTTGGTCTAGATAATGGCTGAAGCAGCCTTCTCAAACCTTGAAGTCTCATTCTGACTCAGTGGATGTGTAGGGAGATCCGCTTTCTAGCCAGCTCCCAGGTGGTGCCGGCTGCTATGCTGAGATCGCCTTCTGAGGTGCACAGCTCTAAGCCACGATCATCTATCATTCCATTGCTTTATGAACCACCCCTCCTCCTACCTGGGCTCTCTCACCATCTTCCTTCCTGACTGCAATTCCTGCCACCTCACTTCCTCTCCCTGTCTATCAGCAGCTCACAACCTGGGCTGCAGATGGCAATCACCTGAATTTAAAAGTACACTGAGGTCTAGCCCCTATTCTCCAAGATTCTAATATAATTGGCTAGAGGTAGGGCATTGGTAAGTACAAAGCAAACAAACCCAAAACCTCTCGGCTTTGTGATTGAAAAATGCAACCAAGATGGAAAAATACATAGAGTGTCCCAAGGTAACTGAAAGACAAATACTCAGCCACACCATAAACACTCAGCTGAACATTCAACTAAACTAAACACTCAGCAGGTGGACCTGGGCAGGGGGCCATTGGCCCATCCACCTTTAACCAGTTCCCCAATAAAGTTCTGCACTGGCAAGGAGGTCTTTGTTCTCAAACTGGGCTGGTATTGTGCTAAGCCAACTGGTGAGTGTTGGGGTTTGCTCCAAGACAGTCCATCAGGGAACTCATTAGCCCATCCTCCCTCCCTTTGCTGGATCAAGCCAAAAGGATTGCTCAGCAGCACCCACATTCTAGAAGTACAGGGTTTCTTGGGCTGACTACTGCCTCGAGCAACTGGGAGCCTTCTCCCAGCAAGCATCCCACATTCCTGACCAAGCCCTGAGAACACAAGGACAGGAAAAAAGTCTCAGGAGGGTACCTGGGTAGGAAAGCAGGCTTCCGATTTACTCACGGCCACAGGGCACCAGCCTCTACCTGCCACCAACCGCCAGGGAGAACAGCTCACCCAACCCCTCAGGCAGAAGGTCAGTGCTCGCTCTCTCTCCGAGCTCTGCAAGAACCACAGTTTCCCCAGCTCTAGTCAGGCTGGAGAGAAGTTGCCAAAGGGCAGAACCCACAAGTGGGTGAGGAAACAAAGCTCCACAGGAAGCAGCATGCCTCAGGCTGCCGGGAACTCACAGCCTGACACGCAGCACAGACGGGCAGGTACCCGCTGTACAAAGAGGCAGAGAACTGGACACCTCCCTTTGGAGCCCTGGTCCATCCGTGAGGGGGACAGCAAGGCCAGTGCACAGGCATTGTTCGTATTGGTTCAGAGACCCTGAGCAAGCCACGGAACCAGCGTTACATCCAGCAGTTCTGTGGGGGAAAACCGAAGCGCCTGGCTGCCACCTCTAGACTCACCTCTAGACTTCTCCCTCCTGATCCTGCCACCTACACCGGGGATCCCCGCTTATCTTTCCAGCACTGTTGCCCATCAGTGGCCCCCTGCCCCGCCCTTTCTTCCCTCCTGCCCTCCTTGTCAGCTCCTTTTTAGAAACATACTTAAGTCTCCCTTTTCCTAAAACAAACCCCTTCTATGCCTCCAACTCCTCAAGCTCCCACAGGTTCCCAAGCTACTTCTTCTCTCCTGCCCCTAAACCACACCAGACACCACCCTTATTTTTATGCTGAAATCACTCCTGCTGAGGCCATCAGTGGCCTCCTAAAAGGTCAAACTTGAGCGACTTTTCTGTCTTCGTTGCACTCAGATACCTGAGACAGTGCTGACCCATAATGCCTCTTTCTTGACTTGCCCATCAAGACTGGGCAGGTTTTCTTCCTACCCCCTTGACCTTCTCCTGCTGCCCCCACTCCTTTCAATGCTGGCATTTCCAGGGATCTGCCCTGGAACCTCCACCCCACATTCTCACCCACCAGGTTTACTCATCTGCTGTGACTACTACTCATACCGGTTGTTTCAAGCCTTTATTTTCAAGCCCTTTCCTTTCGCTCCCAGATGCCATCCAAGCATTTCTCATTTTCCACTGACCATCCTACAGATGGTTTTCAGTTCTTCCAGCTCAGCACATCCCAAACTGGACCCATCTCTCCCACCACCCCCAGCCCC